TATATTACTCTAGTTATCTATATAATTATAAGCATTGCAAATAGAACTTAGGTAGAGATCTAGAGAGACTGTTAATTCTAACTTAAAGATATATTCTATAGATAAAAAGGTAGGCAGCAGCTTTAGAGCATACTAAAACTTAGAGATCTAGTGCTTATTCTAGAGTATGCTGCAGTTTATAAAGTATAGAAGATTACTATTCTAAAATAGTAATAATTTAGTTACCTATGCTAGCTAGAGTAGTAGAGGCTGCTAGCAGCTAAAGCTATCTAGGTTTATAGTAGCAGAGTTATTTGCCTAGTACTACTTCTTTATAGCTATGCTCTAAGCTGCCTTAATATAGTAGTATTAGTTATAGACTATTCTAGCCTGCTTCTATAAAGCTTTATACTTTATAGTGCTTTTATTAATCTATTGCTAGAAGTTATCTTAGTTAAGGTTATTCTATTGCGCTGCAGCCTAAGCTACCTCTTACTTAGATATAAGCTTCTTAATATTATTATTATACTATTTATACTTCTTTATAAATTGCTAATTCTAGTGCTAAGCTAACTATATAAGAGTAATAGCTAGATATATAATAAGGTCTAGCTAGATAATCTAGAGTATTAAGAGTTTATTAGATATTAATGCAGATTACTCTATAATCTTATCTTAGTTTGTAGAGAGGTACTAGTAAATCTATTAGGCTATATTATTACTAAGATTATCTAAGTAGTAGTTAATAAGGCAAGTAGAGTTAGAGAGTACCTAATTACTATAGCAAAGAAAGATAAAAGAAATTATATCTAGCTCTATAAAGTTAATATCTTAACTCTATAGTATATAGTAACATAGCAGCATAGCTATCTATCTACTAGCTGCCTTTAAATATAGCTAATAAGCTAAACTGTATCTAGATAAGCTTAAATGCGTAATCTTAACAATATATTAGCTATTAGGCTTTAATAATGTTAAAGGCAATATAACGTAATCTAGTAAGATTAAGTAGTAGTTAGAAAGAGTAGCAGGTCGCTAAGAAGAGAATATATCTTAATATTTATTAAATTATAGGATATTTAATAATAGTTATAATAATAGCAATAATAATAGCAATGCAAAGATATAAAGAGATAGAAGACTATAGCACTTAGATACTAATATAAAATCTATTCTTAACTTATGCATAACTGCGCGTACTACTTTTCTATAGTTAAGTATACTATAAAAATTATACCTCTTAAGCCTAGCTTAAGGCAGAGTAGTTATTATTATGCTTAAGGTAATTTTTAAGAAGTTTAGATATTAGTTAGTAGTGCCTATACTAGCCTCGCTTAGAACTATTAACTAATACTAGATTACGTATTTTATACTTTTTTAACGCTTTTTTATGCTAATAGTAGAGAGCAATTACTATCCTCTTTTAGTCTAGCTTATTTTTTAATAATACTTCTAGTTTATATTTTATATCTAGAATAAATAGTATATAGCAAGAGTATAGAGTATACTCTATCTAGATAAGTATCTTAGAAGCTATATTAGATAGAATAGAGATAAGCTAGCTAAGGCCTAGCATCTAGCCTAGAGTATTAGCTTTGCTAGGTTAGTTAGAAGTAATTAGATCTTCTATAGCAGTTATCTCTAGCATATTATCTAGTTTATTAACTTTAGTATTAGTAGTATATAGTTTAGAGAAGCGTATATTAACTTACTTAGCTTTATTATCTAAATCTAACTCTATATTAATAGAGAACGCTAGCACTAGCAGCAGCTTTAGCTTCTTTATAGGCCTCTAGTTAAATATGCTATTATTATAGTTTAAGAATTCTTTAGATACTTAGTTAGGTAAGTATAGCTTAAGTATATTAAGTTTAGCTAAGTTCTTCTTAGAAAATATACTTATATTACTGCCTGCTTATTAGAGTAGAGATATAGCTAGTTCTAAGTTATCTATTAAAGAGTAGCGTATATTCTTACAATTCTTAAGATTAGTATTTATATAGAAGCAGGTCTTCTAATTCTTAAAGTTCTTATTAGAAAGCTTTATCTTATTTCTAGAACTAGCTATAGTGCGCTAGTATAAAGAGAAAGTAAGTAAGAAAAAGTAAGAGATATATAAGAAAGTTAAGTAGTTAAGTTCTTAGCTAGTAGTAATAGTTATAGTAATAAAGTAGCTATTCTAAATAGTAAAAGAAGTAACTCTAATATAGAAAGAAGTAAGAGGCTAGCGCTATGCTAGTAAGATAACGTAATCTTAAGAGTAAAAAGCTAAGAAAAAAATTTTTCTAGCGCTTTAAGCTATAGAGATAACAGCTAGCATATAATAGTAAGTAGTAAAGTAGCTATATATGCGCTGATTTTTTAGTAGCTTCTTAGGCTAAGAACTTCTAAAGTCTAGGTATATAGTAGGCCTTAGTAGGCTAGTAATAGTAAACTCTTAGAGCTTAAGTATATAGTAAGCCTTAGTAGGCTAGCAATAGTATACTTCTTAGAGCTTTAGATTTATAGTAAGCTTTAGTAAGCTAGTAATAATAAACTCTTAGAGTTTAAGTATATAGTAGGCCTTAATAGGCTAGTAATAATAAGCTTCTCAGAGCTTTAGGTATAAACTTCTAGAGTTTACTATATATAGCAAGCGTAGATAAGTAGATAATAGCTTTAAGAAGTAAGTTCTTTCTAAAGAGATAGGCGTTAAGCTATACTCTATATAGTAGAGTAGAGACTAGATTCTAGCAGTAAAAGAAGATAAAAAAAGCTACTAGACTTAATAAAGAGCTAATAACTTTAAAGTTCTATATAATAACTAAGCGTAAATAAGAAACTACTTGCATTAATTAAAGCTGCAAAGCCTATAAAGAGCAATTTTTTACTTTAGTCTACTATTATATAAGGCAGACTATAGGCATAGAAGGCTTAGATTAATAAGAAGTACTTATATTTAACTAAAGGTAGAATAGTAAATAAAGAGTCTACTAAGAGAAGAGAGTAGCTAGCTATATATACTGCAAGGCATATAGGCGCTAGGCTAGCGTATACGCTAGCCTAGAGTAGACTAGCTAAAGTAAAAAGAAAGAGAAAAGAAAGCTAGAGCGAGTAAAGTATACTAGAGCATAGATAGTAAGTTAGAGAGTAGATAGTAAGTTAAGCAGAGATGCTTCACTTGCATACAAACCTCTCTAGTATCTCTTACAAATAGGCATAGATAGAAAATAATAACTTTGTAAGGCAATAGCAAGGTCTATAAAGCGTAATAAATTTTCTAAGTAGTAGAAGGAGGTAGCAGCAGTCCTAGCAGACAGTTTAGTATAATTTTCTAAGTTTATAACCCCGCTGCGTAGGAGTTGCAAACTTGGAATTGTATATATAGATTTATTAGCAATAGAGCAGTTTTAGCTCTATCTGAAGTCTGTCCGGATCTACAACCCCTAATAGACCTACCTTACTACTTATGCCTACTACTACAGTAGAGTCTTTAAGACGAGGCTTTGGCTCTCTTTGCGGATGGGGTCCAAGGCATTATATTTGCTGCGTTATCCTTGTTAGATGAGGTCTGAACAAGGCTTGAGAACGGATCTTAGCCTACTCTCATCTCGATCAACAGCATACAAGCTTGTCTCCTGTCTCTGGTGGGTTTCTGTTTCAGGATCCTACCAATGGTGGAGCGCGATGACTTCAGAGCTGCCTGACGGCTTGTCCAGATCCGGCTGTACATTCATGCTCGATCTGAAAATAGACTCTGCTTCTTCTTCAGCGCTCCAGAAGGTTCGTATCCCGAAGGTTGAGTTGTCGCTAAGCAGATCCTCCCAGGGCTGGAATAAGATCAAGCCACCACAACCATGGCAGATCAACGGCTCGAGCGATCATTTGTCAGGCTGCAGAACATGCACAAGTCCCAAATTTAATTTGTGATTCAAGTATGACGACAGGATCAGGAGAGACTACTACCCATGTGTTCTAGTTTGCCACTACACGTGTTCGCACATTGTTTGCATCCCCGTTGATGACGGTTGCAGAAGCCTGGGAACCTCGCCAAACACCAGCAATACCTGCGCTGAGGCACGCGAGACAATTGAAGAGGTCCGCGCGGGCACGACCGAACCATCCGCCTGGAGCAGCTCCGCAGACACCACATGCTCGGTCAGGTCCTGAACCAATCGATGATGGTGGCGCGCGCCATCTTTTACTGATAAACGTTCGATTGCCGTAGGGTAGCGCAAATCTATCAACACAGTGAACATCGAGCACAGCAGCAGCAGTCGTCCAAACTCTGCTCAAGGCGTCTGAGGCATGGTCTCTCCATGTGGCTGAGGTAGGGCGAGCAGTATGAAACAACAACCCTGGGCACACTTCACGGTACGCTAGGCTCAGGTTGGACGGGCACCCCCTGAGATGGGCTTCGCATCAGGACCGGAAAGGCTCCGGCGCTATTGCGGCTGTCACGGCGATCCTTTCAGGGACGGTCTTCGCGCTCGCTTCTGCGCGTCCTGAACCAGTCCAAACAGCGAAAAGGGAGTAAAGTGTGAACCGTCTTACGTGCGCGTGACGGAGCAACGCGTTGTTTTGCAGAAACCTCCGTGCTATATTTACAAAGCCCTGCGCTGACACCTGCATGCCAAGCGGGTTTCAAGGTTGAAACGGCCTGTCTCCTCTAAACAAGAGCCATCCGCGTCCGCCCGGGAGATTAGACGAACAGCATCTTCCTGACGGCCTGAGATCCGAGCTTATACCTCTTCGTCCATCTCCCAAAAGCGTAGCACCTTCTCGCCTTCTCGAACCCTTCCATATTGCGCGCGTCGGCATCCCTTTCACAGCGACCACGACTTCTCGCCCAGCACGGCCCGTCCCAAGTCAAATTACGGCATGACATTGGCTCCTACGCGCGCAACATAGACACCATGGACACCGACGAGCCTCAGCTCTTCCAGTACGGGACACCGCAACACAGTAATTCTTTCAAGCGTCCGCGTCGCAGCCTCCAGGGCGCCACACCTTTGAGCAGCGTTTCGGAAGGCCTTTCACCGTCACCACGACACTCTGGCCAAAGCACCTTTAATCCGCAGGTCATTGATCACATCAATGCCCTGAAACATCTCGATGACCACCAGATTCTGTTGATGCTGCAGGCAGCGCGCAATGGAGGTTTGTATTGATGCCTCTTGGTTGGCGCGTCCGCTAACTCGTACCCCAGATGGTATGCGCCTTCCAGGGCCCGATCGATCGTCCATGTCGACTCTTGGGAGTCGCGCCTCTTCATACTTGAGCGTGCCCTCGAGCAGGGTGCCCAGCATGATGTCGGATCCACGATCCTCGGTCGCGTCCACGGATTCCTCCTTTACGCACTATAGCGCCGCATCGTCGCGCCTCTCGACAGCATCATCCCGTCTGTCCACCATTTCGACCGCGTCGACACCAGCGCCGAAAAACTTTGCCTGCACCTTTTGCGACAAAGCACTAAAGTCTAAGCCATATTGGAAATCGCACGAAGAGGAATTCCACGAGCAGAGGCTTACATGGCGTTGCCCAGATTGTGAGCAAATCTTCCATGCTGGCAAGCGTTTCCGTGAACATCACACCAAGCTACATGTAAGGTTACTCCTCCGAATTGGTGATGCCATTAGCTAATAATGTAAGGGTTGCGAGCACTGCAAACAACCGCGAGAGAGTGGTCAGCCAACCAGCAGAAAAGCATCTCCATGCGTCAAGAAGTACGAAATCGTCATGCACGATAAGGATGCTTGGGGTTGTGGATTCTGCGCGTCTCTCTTGACAACCTGGGAAGAGCGTTGCGAACACATTGCCATGCACTTTGAGGAAAAGGGTAGCTCCAAGTGGAACTTTACAAACGTCGTTCTCGGCTTGTTAAAGCAGTCCGAGGTGGCCAATGCGTGGAACCAAATGATGCTCCAGCGCCATGGAGAAGAGCAAAACTGGCCAAGCCTGGCCTGGGAGTCCAAGAGGTGCAATCGCCTTCGATACAAGCTCGAAACAAAGTGGGATAACCGTGCCTTTGACATTGAGAAGTTGGTCCAGGACACGTATGATCTCGCCGAGATTGAAGCCAAGGATGTCGAAGTCACGCCAGAGCCCATGGCAGAGGTGCCCGAACCCATTGATACCAGCCAAGGAGAGATTGTAGAGTTCAAGCTTGAGACATCAGACTTTGGCAACGATTCAAGACTGCAGAGCTCCCATGGACTACCGCCGGAGCACAGCATGATGGATCTGGACCCCATTGAGCCACAGCAGTCTATGCACCATCAGCCAATGCAGCAGAATTCGTGGCCCGTCAGCACCGACATGGACCACAATAGCATGAGCGTGGCTACCAGCATGGGCAGTTTTGGTGCGTTTGATACGCACATGACATCTATGCCAACAGACTTTTCACAGCCTATTTCGCAAAACTTCCAGCAGCAGCAGCAATCTTGGCCCAACGCCGGATTTGCCTCGACTCCCGACCTGCTCAGCTACCAACAGCCGACACAGTACATGGACTACAATCAACCTCGGGAAATGGTGTCAGTCCCCACATCGCAGTATGCAAACCTGGCCAACTACCCAGCGACTAGGCAAAGCATGCCACCCAACTTCCTTCCACAACAGCAGCAGCAACAAAGCACGCCAACATCTCGACGTTATGTGCCAAAGCTGGTCAGCATTGGGTCAAGCCGGGTGCCTCAACAGGACCAACCGCCTCCACCACCTCCCAAAGACGAGGGCCACCATAACCACAACCGCTTCTCCCGCATGATTATGCGCCGGCGACCAAGCAATATTTCGCAACACAGCCTCGTCTCGCAACGAGACATTGGCTGGATGAATGATGACAACTGGGGCTAACGCTCTCGCCTCGTCGTCAGAGCATGATGTCTTCATTGATACACATGCTCACCCACTTTGATCTACGCCGGCTGGCCTGCACCGTACATCCACTCTCCTTAAAACAAACAAAAAGCCTCACTGTGAAAAGTGACTCCGAACCTCGCATCCGTATGCGAGCTACACGCCACCTCAACGGAGCCCCCCACACTTATACCACCACATTTCCTTCGTCTTCTACTGTCGCATATTTGATTTTTTGAGCCTGGCTTTTGGGAAATGGAATAGGAGAAAGAGTATACCCAATAATGCAGCGTGTTTTTGTCTTTGTTATTTACGGTCGAAGATTAGAGTCAGTCTTCTGGAATCGGGCTTGCTCTCGTTTCGGCCAACCCAACCAACCTAATACCCCCCCAATTTTTTTTGTGCGAAACAACGCGTCGAGTGTGTAGCTGGAAACCTTTGATGTAAGGAAAGAGAATTACTCCATAAATGCAACATTCAACTTCACTGTCTCCCAAGAGTGCTGTTCTGGCAATTTGTGAAGCGGTCGGTGTTGACCCGAGTTGTGGAGCCGTGCACCCCAGACGATCACGCGGGCTCCCATGGCGCGTGCGGTTCGCATCAAACACGTCTTCATCTCGCTTGGAAGAGAGGCAGCCAATGATGGCTGCATAGGTAGGTTTGACGCCTCTGCAGGCGATCTGCGCCGCGGAGGGATCGCTGGCGCTAACATGATGTCGTCGGAATTTCCCCGCGTTGCGTCACACTTTTGAGCTAGAGCGTCAAATGAGGAATTTCGCATGTGCTACTCGAGACGGTACGTTGGTTTATTGGTGTGCATATACTAGTGGTCTGGACTTCGACAATTGCCAATACACGCCCTTTGGTTCCATTTGGATTAGCTGCAAGAAGGTGGGGTTGAAGTTGACATCTGATATCGACCACGCTACAAAACTTGGGTTCAGAAGGACGCAATCATCGTTCCCGTCCAAGGAGCAGATACACTTTTCATTGCGCTTTCCAATTGACTGGACGTCCCTGTGGCGCCTTCATCATGGTACCTTCGCTCTCAAACACCACACAGGGAGCAATCATCGCCTCGGCCTTTTTCGTCCCTGTGCTCACATACCTCTACTTCACAAAGACTCAAAGGCCACAGAGCACAGCCGGTCCACTTCCAGAACCCACAGAAGTTACAGCGCTCTACATTCACCCGATCAAATCATGTCACGGCATCTCAGTGCAGTCGGCAAAGCTTTTGCCTACTGGCCTTGATCTTGGTACGCTTCATTACCATGCCACTATATAAACACTAACACCCCCCAGACCGACAATGGATGTGGGTATCCTATCCCTCCTTCGAATTCCTCACAATCCGCAATAATTCACGCATGACCCTCATCCGACCCACCTACGACGCCTCAACCGACACCTTGACTGTGACCGCCCTCGCCCCAAACACCATCGACGAGAAACTCGAATTCGCAATCCCTGCACACCCAACCAAGGAATGGCTCAATCAAAATACTGAGAAGCACGACGCGAAAATATGGAGCGTCACAACTCCCGCCCGGGTCTATTCGAGCAAGTTGACTGAGCCCTTCAATGCCTTCTTCGGGCAGGAGGTGAGACTTGTGTATAAAGCATCTCAATTCGACGCTCCGCGCCCGCTCGGCTCCAACGGCGCTCCACACCTCCTCGGTCGAGAAGCAAGTACATGTTTCCCGGACATGATGCCCCTCCTTATCGGCTCCGCGTCCTCTCTATCCGAACTAAACACGCGCCTGGACAGTGAAATCGATGTCCGTCGCTTCCGCCCCAACATACTCGTCAGCGGTGACGCCGCGGCGCCATGGGATGAAGATCGATGGAAAACAGTGAAAATCAGTCCAAAGGGCAAACACGGCGGGATGCCGTTGACGTTTGATGTCACACAGAGGTGTGCGAGGTGTAGGGTGCCGAATGTTGATCCGGATACGGCGGAGGAGGATAAAAAGGAGCCGTGGGAGACGCTGGTCAAGTACCGGAGGGTGGATGAGGGGATCAAGTTTAAGCCGTGTTTTGGCATGTTGTGTGTGCCGCGGGAAGGGGGGAAGATTAAGGTGGGAGATAGGGTGGAGGTGCTGGAAGTTACGGACGGGCATAGGTATATACCTGGGTTTTAGGTTGGATGTAAAGTTTTGCTTGGTCTATGCTATGTACATGAGTTGGAAAGGATATCTAGATCTTGGGCTGTTCTTCAGCCAACTTGATCTTGCCCTCGCTATCATATACAATCTCCCTAATCTTTACGCAGCGCAAGTGGTTCACGCCCTTGGACAACGACGAATCGTGGTAGAAGAGGTACCACTTGCCCTTGAACTCTGCAATGGAGTGATGCGTCGTCCACCCAATGACGGGCTCGAATATCCGTCCGCCATATGTGAATGGGCCGTATGGGTTGTCGCCAATCGCGTAGCACAGGTAGTGTGTGTCGCCCGTGCTGTACGAGAAGTAGTATTTGCCCTGGTACTTGTGCATCCAGGCGGCCTCGAAGAACCTCCTATCATGATCCGCAGCCTTGATGGGGGCGCCAGCCTCGTCGAGAATAACCACGTCCTTGACTTCCGAGGCGAATTGTGTCATGTCGTCGCTGAGCTTCGCGACCTTGGCGGTCAGTGCGTTGCCCTCTGTCGCCTCCATGTTTGAATAAGCGTCGCGGTCGAACTCGCCCTTTGTCCAGCACTGCAATTGTCCGCCCCAAATGCCGCCAAAGTACAAATACGCCTCGCCGTCATCGTCGACGAAACTCGCGGGGTCGATGCTGAAACTGCCCTTGATGTACTCGGGCTCTGGCTTGAATGGACCTTCGGGCTTATCGCCCACCGCGACTCCGACCCTGAAGATGCCCTCCTTATCCCTGGCGGGGAAGTAGAGGTAGTATTTGCCATTCTTGGTCGCGGCGTCGGGCGCCCAGAGTTGTTTCTGTACCCACGGCACGTCTTCTTGCTTGAGGGCTACGCCGTGGTCTGTGACTGGTCCGCCTACCTCTTCCATGCTGAAGACGTGGTAGTCGGCCATGTCGTATTGGTCGCCATTGTCATTGTTTGCAATGTCGGTCTCGCGGTCGTGGGAGGGGTAAATGTAGAGCTTGCCGTTGAAGACGTGGGCTGACGGGTCGGCAGTAAAGACGTGTGTGACAATGGGTTCTTTGTCCGCCATTGTATATGTTGTTCAAGTTTTGCGATTGTTTATTCTGGGATGTGGGTGGTGACAAAGGACCGAGTCATATATTCGAGGCATCGCGAATGCTTTTATGGCTGGAGGGGTACAGCCGCCCCCGCGAGACGGACTTGGAAGCCGATTACCCACCGGCACCACGTTCCAGAAGCCAAGCACATGACATGGTGTCCAAGACGGTCGTAGTCGTGCTGAAAAGCGGTTCCTGGCGGTACTGAGCCGACAGATGTACAGCGTGGACATGAGCTCCTACTCTAGAATGTTGGTGTGGTCATTTAGCCGTGGATTCACCCGACTAGACGCGTCCATTTAGCACTAAAATGCCGCGGGGTGATGGAAGCACTCGAGGTTGAGATCGACCGAAATACAGCCGTCAGATCTGGCAGCGAGTCTGTCTTGCTGGTGAATGTTTCTGGAAGTGGGTGGGGTCGAAACGCGTGGGCACGTGCCTGGTGTGCATGACCAAAATGGATCGCCGTCCACAGTCATCCACCACAACACCAACCTTTACGAAGTAGTGGCGTAGTCATTCAGCCTGTGCCTTCTTGTATCGTCACAACGCAAGCCTAACTGGATGGTTCCTTCTTTTGTCTATTCGCTCTCCTTGCTTCTCGCGCTGCTTTCCTCTTTTCTTCCGCCAGTTGCAATTCAGCCTTCATCTCTTCCGCCAACTTTTTGTTCAAAGAGGCCTTCTTTTGAATCTCGCTGGAGCGCCCAATTTCAACCTCTTCAACCTCTTCCACATCGAGCACTTTTATTCCATTGTAATCGCCTTTTCTTACAAGTTCAGTTCTCTGCTTGCGTAGCACGTCTTCCCCAACATGACGGCAACGCTTGAACATTGCGCTTTTCAAGTCTCCATGCTGTGGATACATTTTTTCGTCATTTCCTGCCCTATGCACGCTTTGGCAATGCGGAAAGACCTTCTCTTTTTGGAGGGGAATTGTGCTGAGCCTATGTGACTGTAACTTTTGGCCATGGATGAAGCCCTTTGCATTACAGTCCTTGACAGTGTCGCCTTTGTCAATACCAGACTGTTTAAGAGACATCCAGGGCATGTGCAATGTCTTGGGCTCGTGTTCTTCGTATGCGCCAAGAACGCATAGCAAACGTAGTGGTGAAATGGTCATGGGGTACGACGTGAGAGGCAGGTGCTTTGATGAGCCTGATGCCATGATGAAAAGCGTAAAGAGTTGCAAGGTGTGCAGAGACATGTAAATGTCTTTACCTTTGATATGGAGAAGTACGATAAGTGTCAAAGTATCTTTGGTGTGAAAAGGATTCTTGGAATGGTTTGTGGAAAAGGGTCCCAGCTAAGCCATCGTGAACCACGGTTGGAATTTCAAAATTACACAAACAGCCACACAGCGCAATTTTGGAACTCATCTGATGTATTACTGGGAAAGGGGATTTCAAAGAGTTTAACAAACACGCGATTACGCCGATATCAGACTATCACCTTCTACTCTCTACTGTCCCTGAACCATCATCATCCCTCCTTGTTCACCTTGATGCTTCTGCGCATCCAAAATCACCTCCTCGCTACCAAAGCTCCAGTCTTCTAAACCATTGAAAGCACCATCCTGGCTCTCCGCCTTTCCGTTACCAAAACCCTTGGCATCCCACTTCTCCGTACCCTGGACGCCCTTCCAGCCGCTCTCTGCGCCAAACACGCGGAACAACTGCGCATTCAAGTGCTCATACTCAGAGTAAGACTTGGGCCAGCCGCCCAGACGCTGGTACGCCATCTTCAACAAATTGAGGTGCTTGAGCGCAAGTGCAGACCTGTCGATCTGCGCAGCGTCGAGCGCGGGTGCATTTTGTCCGTCGTGACGCTTCACCTTGACGCCCTCCTTGGCCAACAGCGCAGCCGTAGTGTCAAGTTCGTCATCGGACTCGTCTTCGCTGCCGCCCTGATGGTTGACGACAAGGCGCAAAACGTCCTCGTGCACGCCAACAGCCTTCTTGAAGAACTCAGACGCCAGGCCTGCCGTCTTTGCATCCTTTTGGTATGTGAGCGCCGTTGAGGTGTACAGCTCTGCGAGCAGCTCGTATGTCTCGATTGTGACGGGTGCGCGAGGCCCGTGGGCACGACGCATATTGTACGCAATGTCTTCGGCAAGACGGATTGCCTTGACAGGGCGTTCCGCGAGGTAGCGAGCACAGATGAGACGGCGGCCAAGGTTGAGAAGAATGGTTGCGGGCCATGTGCGCTGCGCGTCGCGAGTGTTCCACAGAGTGGTGAGGAGCCACTCGAGCGTCTCGTAGTCTTGCTGCTCGCCAAGGAGCACACTGAGACGAGAGAGCTCGTATAGTTGTACCTGGGCAAAGTTGATGTTGAGGTTCTTGCAAATCTCCAAGATGCGCTTGACAATCTTGTTGCTAAGCTCAAGCATCTTCTTGCGCAGAGCAGCGTCGGGACACTTTTGGCCTCCTCGGTCGCCGACAAGCAGAGAGGCAAGCTTGAAGCCCATGCTAATGGCACGAGGGCCATTGTATCCGTCGTGCTTGCTGGCGTACAAGAAGCCCAAGTTGGCAATGTCGTATGCCTCGGGGAATTTCTTGGCCTTGACGAGCTTGCTGACGCTGTCGTTTGAAGCGAGGATGACGCTGCGGTTAAAGTTCTTGTTGCGTCCATTACCCAAATGGTCCATGATGCCAATAATGAAGATGCGAGGAGACTCTTTGCTCTGCGTGTTCAGGTCTTGGGCATCACGCTTGACGAATAGACCAACGGCCTGGTCCTCAACAACTGTAATCATGTCGTGTTGATGGTTGCGGCGAAGGAACCAGCGGAGAGGCGCGGCAGCCAAGAGAATGTCGGTCAAGCTCTCGTTGTTCTCCAAGGTGTGGTGGAACTGCTCAAAGTAGATGTACTCGAGTGTCAGATCTGCCATGATCTCGGGGAAAGTAATGGTCAGATCCTTGCGCAGGTTATACTGGAGGGCTGCAAGGAACGCAAGAGATGAACGTGTGCTCTTTGTCAAATCAAAAGACCACTTGGATGCATAGCGAGTGTCTTTGGCGCAAATCTGGCGGTGCAGTTCCTGGACAAGGCTTTCAGCGGTACTGGCCTGATCAATTGAGCGGAAAGTAGAGGCAATGGACTCTGCACTCTCAATTTGCTTCTGACTCGAATTTTCCTTGCTAATGATCTGCGAAACAGCAGTGTTGAGCTGCTTGACTGCAAGATCAGTCTTTTGCTGACGGCTGTACAGCGTCGAGAGCTCGCGCAAGTGGGTGAGCGAAGACTCGTGCGAGTACCCATATGCACGTGTGGAATCTTGCAACTGAGACTCGGACATGGTCAGAGCACGCTGAACAGTTTCAGCCTTCATATTGCTCGAAGATGCAGACTGAATCTGCTTGACGTATAACGACGACAAGGCTTGGTTGATATCGCTGGTGTTTGTGCGAGTGGTGACAGTCTTAGACCTGCTAGATACATCCTCGTAGAGAGCAATCGCCTGGGAAGCATGCTCCTCACTACGCTGCGCAACCTGCGCGAGCGAAAGAGTAGCTTCAACAGCAATAGTAGACTCTGCGCCAAACACGGCCTTGACAGTCTCGCGGTACTCGTTGCTGACCTGGTATAGCTCTGTCCAGCTGGCCTTGGTTTCTTCTAGACACTGGTAGAAGCGCTCGTATAGCGTTTGCACAAACTTGACTTCGGTGAAAACCTTGTGCTCTTTGGTCTTGGTGGTAAAAGTCTTCCATAAGACACGGTAAATGCTCACTGCTTCTGCATAACGTCGGTCTTCCCAGTAGGTAGTTGTAACCACAGTGATGGCATCTAGAGCAGCTGGATGGCAAACATCAGAGTCCTTGTTGAGGCTTGTAATGATTTGCAGGTAGTAATCGATCCAGTATGGGTGGTTTCGGGGGTGCTTTTGGCAGCGCGTCGCCAACGTGTACAACGTTTGGATTGTCAGCTCGTGAGCGGGACCAACTCTGTTGCGGTGGTACACCAGCATCTCCTGGTAGATGCTAATGGCTTTGTCCGAATAGCCATGCTTGTCGTAAAAGGTAATAAGCAAAGTCTTGGACTTGTCGAAGACGGTCTGGTCAACCTTTTGTGCGACCAGTACGGCACGGAAGAAGCGGTTATACATATCTTCCACCTTTTCGAGTTGCCTCGTCTGGAGATAGCACTCGGCAAGCTGCTCAACCAGCTCAATGGATTCCTGCGTAAAGGTCGATGTCATGGTAACATCATGAATGGAATCAGCCAAGAACGAAGACCAGGTTCGCTGCAGAGTCGCAGTAATTACGTTGATGGCAGCAGTGTAGTTTCTCTTTGCCATGTACTGCGCAGTGAGCTTCTTTGCAAGAGCAATTGTGCTCGAGTCAATTGTCTTGGACGAGTGGATAATGGAGAAAAAGACGTCCTGGAATACAGACTCTGAGACGGTGGTTGTCGTCTCAGTAACACTGCCAGAAGAGTTGAGACTCTGCTTGACGAGTTCAGTAGACGTCTCAGATAGCTGCTGATTGATTTCCCGGGAAATGGAAGATTCCTCTTGGCGGACGCTCTTGAAATACGAGCTTGCATACTTGAAGATTGACAGGGCTTGGGTATGCATACCAACGGATCGCATCTCTTTGGCGACATTGGTGAGACGGGAGACTATACTTTCCGCAAACGACAATTGACTGTGCTCGTACTGTTTCCAAATGGATGTCAAGACGCTCGCTGATTCCGACGACCTCTTTTGAGACTTCAGGAATTGCGAGTAGCCCGTCGCAACTTCAATGTTCTTCTCGTGCCATTCAAGGGAACGTGCAGTGCGAGTCTTGGAAGAAACTTCTTGCCAGAGCTCCACATACGTCTTCTCGGCAAGTGCAAACTCTTTTTTAGATGCGTGGGTTTCGGCAAGGCGGAGATAGGCGACAATCGAACCAATGTCAAAGACTTCCACACTGTGGTCTTCTTCCTCGTCTCCGTGGAAGAACGATTCTTGGTAACCGTCAATGCTTCTATCACCTTTGCCCTTACCAAGAACAACATTCATATGTCCCTGGATATCTTGGGCTTGGTGCGAGTTGCGGCCGTACTGCTGGACGGTTGCCTCTTGAATAAGGCGATAAATCTCCATTGCCTTATCCTCTTCCTTGATCGAGGCATACAGCTCCACAAGCAACTTGCGAGTATGAATCACCAGCTCAGAAGTACTGCCATATTGTCGCTCATAGGCGGTGACGAGTATGGTGAGTATAGTTTCCCGATGGGTCATGACCTCTGTGCGAGTTGTCGTTGTCAGACTCTCGGTGATTTTGAGGTAATGGTTTGCGCATTCCAACGTCAATGGATGGATATCGCTCAACACCTTGCGACTAATGGTCGTAGACCAGTAAAAGTATTTGGCAGAGTCTTGAGGGTTAGAGATGAGTAGGTAACTAGTCGCAATGGACAAGAAAGTTTGGAGTACACTTGGGTGGTTCTCTCCAAAGTTTGCGCGGCGCACTGTGCCGACGAGCTTGTGTAGGTCAATCGCTTGGGGCATGGGAAGCTGGGTCTCCCAAACAAGCTGCTCTAGAATTGGGAAAACAGTCGACTCGGGTAGAGCCTTCTGAAGCTCCGACGAAGGCTTATAAGCTCCCGAAGTCTGTGGTGCCAATGGCGATTGCTGCAAATGAAGTACCCAGTAGCGGACAGTATACTCCAAGAGGTGGTGCTGGTGGTACAGGCGATCTCCAAAAGACGGATCAGAGTTGTCAAGAGTAGGCTCGCCTTTCTCTCGTAGCACAGACTTGGCATAAGTCAAGACGCGCAGTAGCAAGTCGGTCTCGCTCTCTTTTAGTGGAATAGGGAGCTTGTTCTGATCGGCAAAGTCGTAAAGAGCAGCGTGAACAATGGGATGCTTGAAGCGCACGATTCGCTCGTGAATTGTCAGAATTGGCTCAAGAGACTTTATAATGTCGTTGGTCTTGATGCCAGTATCTGAGATAGTGCCGCGTTGCACGTCGATGGTGAATAGCGTGTGGATTTCGTCGATAGTGAGTGGACGCTCTGCTGCCAGGATCCACGACACCACAGTCTTGGCCTGGCTCGTAGTGTTTAGCGATGTGAATAGCTGGAGTATCAACTCTTGGATCGACGGCTTTTGCTTTTCTACAGTGTCGAGAAATTTTGTGACAGTCTCGGGCGACTTTTGGGCATTCAAAATTTGGCAAACGAGGATCGTGTACAGGAAGGATCCGTTGGCCGTCTGGATGATGCGGTCAAGGAACTGCTCCTGATCATAGGCTCGCTGTCCATGGAAGTTGTGGTTGTGGACCAAGGCTCGAAGTGCGACTGCGTGCAAATCTTCACGCAAGTCTTCGCGCGTAATTTGATGGTGTGTTCCCTTGGCCGACGATGGCATCTTGATTGACGATCCCAATGTGATCAGCCTGACGCCACGACCCTGGTTGGTAACGGTAACCAACTTCTCTAGGAGAGAGGCTGGACTCATTCCACCCGCAGATTGAATGGATGCCGATTTGGAGTCGGCAATCTCGTCGAGGCCGTCGACAATAATGGCGAGCTCATTGCTTCCCTCGACTGGGTGTGCTAGCGCATCACCCAGAGCAGTCCACAAGTAGTCTTCGTAAACCTTGAGGTCGCCAGTGGTTCTACACTGATGATATGCCCGGAAGATGGCATAGTACAATCCCATGTTGCCAACGCGAAGGTTCAAAAGCTGAAACAGCAGCGTCTTGACAATGGCGAGCGAAGTCGCCGTGGTTGGAATGTCTGGAGAAAGAGAGCAAAATAGCGTGTCGTACTGCTTGCGGTTCATGGGTCGTTGAAGCCGTTCAACGACGGACCCTGCAATGGTGGTCTTGCCTGACCCTTTTTCGCCCGTGACTAGTAAAAAGTTGTTTTGGCTTTGGAAGAATTTGGACAAGTGCTTTTGGAACCAGAGGCAAGTGAATTCCTATAAACAACATTAGGGAATGTCTTGATGAGGACGCGGGGTTACTCACCACTTGCTGATCAACAAAAGTACTATGATCACGGTTTAATGAGGCCAGAACACGGTCCTGTGGTGCCAGCCATCTGCTCAGCACCTGGACATCCAATGCTTCGCCTTCCTCAAAATCCTCATTTTCGATTTGAGAGCCCCAAATCAACTCGATCACCGAGTTTTGGCGTGTGCGAAAGGATTCAATGGTATCTCCAAAGAGCTCGAAAATGTCCAGGCTCGCAGAACCAGCAGTCATGCCTGATATTGTCAGCACAGATCCAAGGTTTTGCAAGTCTCACTGGTACTCACCATGTACAGTCTTGTAGAACTTGACTGCCACGTTGACCACAAGCGATAAAAGGTCAGTGTACAACATGCACAGTTGCTCGCGAATCTCCGAAGTCGCCGACAATAATTCTGAGCGGTGCAAAACGGACGAGAACGACATGGCAAATTTGTAAAACACGGAAAACGCCTTGTCAAGGGCCTCGGAGTTGTCGTGGCTCAACTGTAGATGTCGTCAGCAAAGGTGACCTGAATTGGGTTTACTACCTCCCCATTCTCGCGCAATGGTGGAGTCAGTGCCGTGGCTCACCTCAAGAAGCAGCTGCGCGTGGCCATAACCAATCGCGGCAGCAGCGCTGCTCTCCAGCGCGAAGCCCTGAATCGCCTGTTCAAAGTTGTGAAGCTGCTCGGCAAAGTAAAGAGCACCTGGAAGGAAAGTTCAGTGATGCGTTCAGGGGCAGTCCAGACTTTGGGCAACTTACGAATGAGGACTTTATCCCAGCGGCTTCCTTTGTGGGGAAGCGTAGTCAGCCGCTCCGACCTAATCCACTCGAGAAAGTTGACATAAGAGACGTTGCTGACAGACTGATACACGCCAGCACCAAGCTCGGCCATGCTTCGCTTCTTGAGAGCAGCTGCTGATTCTTGGACGAGACCAATCTTGTAGCTGTTCCCACCATTGGCGCGCTTGCTGACTGTCTTCATGGTGCTCAGATTGTGGCTCGGAGCGCGCGATGACGTGAACGAAGGGAGACGACCCTTTGATCGAAACGCAGCCTTGGGCGACATTGGAGGGCTCAGCACACCATTAGTACCGCTCTGGCCATTGATGCCGCCATAGGATGATACTCTTTGCGACGCCATATCGCTTCTGTACGCTGTGATTTGGCCTGGGCGTGTCGGTGTGGAAGAGGTTATCAAAGAATTGGCTGAGATGTTGGACTGGACTGAAAACTGTGTCTGAGACGTATTGGAAGTGTTCGGTGATTGACCGAGGGCTTCTATCTCGAGTGGCAGAGTGCTTTTGGTAACTGGTGTTGGGACTGGTGCAAGCTCTTCGGGCTGAGGAACAGTGCGGATATTCTCGCTACCACGTGCAGGGAGTATATGGCTATTAGAAACAATTGCGGGCTCAATTGCTGCTTCTGTGGCTGGTCTCGGAACTGGTGCAGGCCTTGAGGGCGAGGGTGCAGCGAAATCTTCTGATACGGGTCTTGTTCTCTGACCTGGCAGTGTCTGTGCTGACAGTGAGCTCTGTCGACTATGTGCGAAAGTCGAGGCTGGTGACGTGGTGGAGGCTTCGGGAATGTTTAATGATGAGCGTTGAGACGTGTCTGATGAAGCGTCTGAATCCTTTGACCCTTTCCGGTGTTTTCCTAAAAGTACAATGGTCAAAATAATGGTTATTCAAAAGTGAAAAAGGACTTACGGAGCGATTTAAATCCTTTAAACATGTGGAGAATGGTGCTATGTCATAAGCTTTGAGAGTCGTGGCGTTTGATCACAGATTGTTGCTCCTTTAAATGTAGCTGCATTCATATGGGCCATAGCTTGAGAATCGGAAGCGGGGCTTACGCAGGTTCGAGAATTGATCGCCGTCATCGAGCACATGTCGAGACACTAATGGCATCAATGAGATCAGTCATCGGTACATGGTAAACTCTCCAGCTGGATCTGGAAAAGCTGCCATCTTTTTTCCGAGGACTTGGTCAAGCTTGCTGGGCTTATGGTGATCATGCTAGCCTTTTCTCCAGAGAGCAACATTACTCGTGCTACTGCGGACAAATGAGCCACATCGTTTGGACTGCTTGCGTGCCAGTCCTGTGGAACGACGGACATGATCACGGAGCTTCCGAACAAATTTCAGCTCTGGCAGCTTGCCTCGCTTTCGTGGCTGCAGTTAGCATGCCCTGTACGCGTTACTTCGTACATCAACACAATCTATTGCTAGCTCGTGGGCATGCAGCTTGACGTTGACGTCCAATACTAGTCTCCGCCACAGGATTGGCACAGTCGAGCTCGATCGTTTATGAGATTTGGCCCATGTCGAATCAGCAGTCGCACCACTGATCCCGGGAGCATCCCGAGACCCTCGCGGCCTTTTCAATAATGAAAAACCGCCTGTGGCTCGAGAAGTAGTTTATTCAGATAGCTATTTCGAGAGTATAGAGTTCAAGCACAAGAACATTCACTTCGAAACTGACGACTCTCATTATGAGCCTTTTAGCCATATCTTACCCATGCACCGCATTGTAGAAATGATTCAGTCATTCATGTCTCAGTAAACGACCTCATCCTGAGCGACTTTTGCGAGTTTGCCTGCACATCAGTAGATCCATATCGTAGTCGCCGACCACAACCATTGGCAAGTTGTTTTGTGGGTCAAGCTGCCACCTATGCATAATTTACGGAGGCGTGCTGAGTTTGTGGGGTGCAAACGTGTACCGCTGTCCATGATGCTCTTGGTTCATTGGTCCATGTCCATGATACCTAGGTTGGCATTGCTGAATCGCCAAGCAGATGTTCGGCGGAAGGAGACTGGTCCCGCTGCATCAGAGACCTCTGGCTATATGATTGGGTCAGCTCTGGAGCCAGAAAGCTTTGACTGTCTGCATGATCGACGGTAGCGATGAACGGAGCTGAGAACATACCCAAAAGGTTCTGGCGCCTTTCTTCGGGAAGACACGCGTCAGATGTAGCTTCTCGCTTAGATTAACTTTAATCGCTGATATCGAATGCCCCCCCTTTGGACGCATCGGACCAGCCGCTATATCGGAATTCAGTTCTGATGCAGTTTTGTATAGTCTTTGTTGTCGCACATCAGAAAGACCATTGATCCAGCTGAATCTTCGCTTAGCAATCGACCCTTGTATCTACATACATCTCTGCAGCACCTCCTACCCCAGATTCATGTCCGCACGTCCATTGCCACGAAACCATGCCTAGGTATATGCAGGCTGTTCGTGATGCACAGAATGTCATTGCGAGGCTTTTCATCGTGCCGGTCCTCCGCCACATCATCGATCCGCACAATAAGCGGCAAGACCGAGTCTCCATGACCCCGCCTGCATGCATGTGCATGTAAGTCTGCATATCGATGAAAGGCTCAACCCACAAATGGCCAAGGTGGGCGATCATGCAATCCGAAACCGTCAAGTCGGCAGCTTCGCATCATAAAACTATCCCATTCGAGAATCGCAGGGTGCCGGCCTCCGATAGGTACATCATCGCATTTACCACCGGGTGGAAGCGATTTGGGAACACGTTCGAGGCAATCACGTCGTGATTGATCTACGTCGGGGTCGGTTTGATACAAACCGTCAAGCCCCGATCTCAATGTTTGGTGTGGAGCAAGAGACAGCTATATACGATTCCCAAGCCGACATTCAGCACATCAACCGGGTCCTCCGGTTCTACAGCCTCCATTCTTTGCAGCAAGATTTACTCACCAAATGCAGGCAGCCGATGGATCCTCCAGAAATTACGGCTTTGACCGTGCATCCATGTCAAACAAGCGTCAATTTAACTAGTTTACCAGCCACCAGCCTCCCGCTTAGGCGAAGCGGGATGCTAAGGGAACGACCGCCTATCTAGCGGGAAGGCCGGCGCCAGACTCCCTCGCCCCGGATCTCGCAAGCGGACGTTCCCTACGATCTACCACTTTTGTCGGCGAGCTGACCACGTCAATGCCTTAGGCTACGAGTCGATGTGGACGATTGGCTGACATCTTCAGACATGAGCACATTGCTCGCACCTTGTGAGTGATCGGTCAGTCAGGAGGCCAATGAGCTGAAGGCTGGCATATTCCTCTTGAGCGAGCTGTCAGCATAACTCATGAACCTGTCAGGTCGTCCGTTCATCATACTCATCATTGCGGTGTCAGAACGGACATGTCTGGCTATCCGGCTCGAGGCTTTGCGGGGAATACAGGGCCCTTTTTTTTTTAGCATAGCGACGTCAGCGATCAGAACATAATCTGAATGATCTGTACCAGCTTCCTGGTTTGGCTGACCATGTCCCGTCCTCGCGAAGAAAACCTCCGTAAGTAAAGCCGCGCAAACTTACCGTGCTAAGAACAATGCAACAGCCGAACAAGCAGCAGTGTGTTGTTGAGTTTCTCGGGCTACAATAACCTAACAGGCTGCATTAGCACGAGCACTTGCGCACTCGCCTCGTATAGGATGCAGTGGTGTGGTAACGATCTATAGGCGGCGTGCAGCACACAGCGAGCTTTTGTCGAAAGTAAGCTGCAAACCCCGCCGCAGGCTTTCGAAGGCAGTGGGCGGAACGCGCACACACCCCACGCTGACAGGCAAAGTACAATCTGGAGAGCGCTTCAGCTTGCTGCGTATATGCACGTCTGGGCTGAACAGTCTGATCCAACTTGGCGAATTACGCACCGCCCACTGCATTTACCTCAGCATTTTCTCTGTCCGTATGCAAATGCATTGCCTGTGAATCACGAGCTGCAAGAATACTTATGCTCTGCTGTGAAAGAATCGCCCCCACTGACTCGCCCAAAAGTATAGTGGCTATCGCTTCCTAGAAGAAGCAAAGAAAATAAACAAAGTGCACGATCTTGACCTTGTTGGGAAGATGCAACAGCCACAAGAGCTTCGATCACTATGACGTCCCTTTCAAATTTTGCTACTCTCTTGCAGACTTGAGCTGAGCTACGGAAACCCCACGCGCTTGCCGTTCTGTTGGCGCAGTCTCATTGCATGCGCCCTCACATTTCAGATGCAGCGCTACAGTGATGCCACGCGGCGAATGGATGGAATTTGAAGCCGTATCGCTGCCAGACACGTGTGTTTATACTCCTGTTCAGGGATTGCTACTCATACCCACTGTCGCTGTCGATGCCTTGTAGCCGATCAATGCATTAATGAGCGAAAATATCAATTCCTCGTTGTATAGCTCGACTCAACGGCCTATTGGACCTCCCTCCCGTAACACTAGTTTCTCCCTTAATCGGCGAAGGCGTAGCAATCCCGAATGCTGTGCACTTCAGCACTGTACTTTAGACCATGCGTCCCAGGTAGTGTGTCACCGCTCGAAACCCTGAGCTGAGCCCTTATTCATACCTCCTGGGAGGGTTTCCCTCGGATTGGTAAATTAATCAATCAATCATGGAGGAGAATAGTGGCAATGGATATTGCTCTAGGCCTAGAAATGCGCCTTTGGTGAATGATCAATTTAAAAAGATTTGCTATTTCGAAGCAGCTAACGAAGAGCGATTTTTCCTTATGCTACCACGTCAAACTCTTAATGCCTCTTCATGGTAGTCAAGTTTCCGATTCTCCATCGCTCATTCCAGATAGTCTCCACCCGTCTCCTTGTGGATAACATCAAACATTGGCTTCGCCGAAAACCATCCTGTGCAATGTCAGTACATCTCTCCTTCACCTCTTAACCGCATGAGATTCAAACATACCAGCAATCGGCGTCCCAACCGTCTTATACGTATACGCCGCATCTTCCTCATCAATATGAATCAACTCACCTCTGCCCGCCACCGCCGCATCCGCCATCAACTGCGAATGGCAGCATTTCTCCAGACTCACGAACCAAAACACCGCCTCCTCAATACTCTTTCCCACAGTCAACAGGCCATGATTCTGCAACAACGCTGCCTTCTTATCCCCTAGTGCTTTTGCAATATTTTTACCCTCTTCTTCCGCCAACACCACGCCCTTGAAACTGTTATACACTACATGGTCGTTGTGGAAGGCGCAGCTGTCTTGCGTAATGGTGTCGAGTTTTCGACCTAGAGCGCAGAATGTGCGGCCGTAGATTGAATGCGAGTGGGCGGCACACATGACATCCGGACGCGCGGTGTGGACTGCGTGGTGGATCATGTATGCGGCAGTATTTAGTAGACGGACTTCTCCGCCGTCGATTACTTTTCCCTCTGCATTAACGAGGATTAGGTCGGATGCTTTCATCAGTGAAAATGCGACGCCAAAGGGATTCACCCAAAAGTGTGTTGGTTCTACGGGGTCCTAAGCGCATGTCAGTGCAGATATCGAAACGCGTAGATGGTAGACTCACTCGCAAGGTAATGTGTCCAGCCACACCCTCATCGAATCCATATTTTCCAAATATGCGAAAGGCGGCGGCGAGTCGGCCTTTGAGGTATGCGCGCTCCTTGTACGGATCATCGAACTTTGGTGGCTTGGGGAAACTCAGTGTTTCCATTTTGCCTCGCTTTTCGTCGAGACCTGGTTCGAGCGGGGCGGTGGTGTTTGGTTTCTTGTCATCGCCGTTCTGAGGCTCAATTGCTGATGGTGGCGACATGTTTACTTGTAGGGTTCAAAAATCTGAGCCGGCAATAAACAGGAGGCGATCACGAGAAGTCCAAGAAATGAATCTAACACCAGAGCTGGACTTGGTCGCAGAGAAAAACCTATAGGTTTGGTGAAATTGGCAATTGCGACGCAAAGAAAGCGGCAAGTATTACAACAATTGAAGCAATAAGAAAGTGGCAACCTCACTTCCTATTGTCGATCACCATGCCTCGGTTTTAGCTATCATTACACGCCCTACGCTGCACTAAGGCAAAGATAGCACAGAAAAGGCGCTTCGGTAGTCGGCAATCATGCCCAGCTGACGTCCAGATGCAATGTGGTTGGTTGAACTGACTTCAGGTCGAGTGCGGGGTTCTCCCGGGCTTCGGAAACGAGGGTCAGGGTGCGGAAACTGCGGAATAACTACTTCGTACTTCGTACAAACCTCTGCATCACTCGTGATCCCTTTTTGCACATCTCTCTTTGAATAACCATTCGCAATTGCCCGCTTGCCGTATTTTTCTGTTTGAGTAAAGCTGTGAGGAGTCAGTTGGGATTGCTGCACACCTGGGGCGTCATCCGAGATGGGCGTATCCTACATCGCATATTCAACTTCAGGGTAGTAGGCCACTTCCAGCTTCTATACATGTTTCCATACGCTGTTGTCCTGAAGGTAGGATATTCCGAATACATTGCACGTTGCTGCAGTCAGCCGCATGGTATTGTGGAGACAAGCATGCTGATTACCGCTGACACATGCCTTAATTATTTATAATGCACAGCTGAGATGATTCGAAGTGAAGAACGGTTCCTACATATATCGGAGCTTGAGAGTGCTCATGCTCTCCAATTCATCAATCGCCTGAAGCATCGAAACTCACACCAGGCGCCACAGCGACGTCGGTTACAACGATCTGCATAAACCGTGTTTCGACTTTCATTCATGACAAACCTACCTGACTATGGCAGGCAAAGCATATGCGGTTTTCATAAAGCTTAAGCGTGAGAACAAAATATTTTCTATCATATGTGTCTTGTTCGACAACATGCAAGTGTGTGCATTACCTCCAAGAATTTTCCAGTCCAATTTCAACGCTGATGCCTGAGCCGGTCAGCATGCGCCTTATGCTAACCCAACGGCATCTTATCTTCCCATCTCGCCTTGCATGCAACAAGCGCCAGTAGTATCCCGACATCTGCACAAGCACCATTGATCGGTAGTAGCTAGACCTGTCAGATCTGCGGCTGATAGTGTGGAGTTGGCCCCAGACTAGTCGTGACAGCTCATGGCTGGCCTAACCGTCAGCACCTGTAACGTTGATAGGTTGCACGACGTAAGCACGAATCACGACTTGGGTTGTGTACATAAACAAAGGCATTGCCATTTCTATACTATTGAATTGTTGGATTTTTTTAGTCTTCGTGTCTGCTGCTCTCCATCATGCCGTCACGCTCATTATTGCTGGCGGGACTAGTTCCGCTGATTGCACTTCTCTACGCCCAATTTTTCAATCCATCACTGCTGGATTTCTTGCGCAGCAAGAATGCGCCCGTTCTCCCGCGCTCAAAGACGCCCATCGTCATGGCTTCTACGCCGGCATTCAGGTCCATTCACCTCAAACCATGACATGAACTCATCTGATCAATTTTCCAGCCACATTGAAAAGATCACCACCATCGCAGAAGGCCTAATTAAACTCGGCTATCCCGTACACTTCCTCAGCAACCCGGACTTCAAAGACGCCATCGAGTCCATCGGCGCCATACACGTGCCCATTGAAGGCGCGGGCCCGGGGTATATGGAGCCCGAGAAGATGGCACATTTTGTCACGCTCACGGGTCATGAATCTAACATTTTTGCGTTCAAGACGATCTTCACAGACTCGATCCCCGCGCAGCATCGGACTCTCCAGCGGCTTTTCAAGTCGATACGGGAAGAGTACGGAGCTGAGCAGCCGCTGATATACATGAATGACTTCTCGTTTGGTGGGATGACGCCCGTTTTTCTCGGCGCGGAGGGGATTCGTCCAGATGCTATTATTGGTATTGCGGTTGCACCTTATCCCGCTGCGAGTAACGATACGTTTCCGTTTCAATCAGGCAGACATCCAGATACTTCCCCCTCGTCCAGGGAGATTCACTTCAAGGCGCAGCAGGAAAGGTATGAGTCGTATCCAGATAAAGAGGTGACTGCGTATTTGCGCAAGACGCTGGCAGATATGGGCGCGAAGAAATACTTTCCGAGTCTTTATGACATGTTTGCGTCGGCGTCGGATGTGCTGCTGCAATATGGTGTGCCGGAGTTTGAATATCCAAGGAGCGATTGGCGCAAGAATGTGAAGTTTGTGGGCGCGCCGGTGGGCGTGGGGGTTGCGGAGAGGAAGCTGCCTGAGTGGTGGAATGAAGTCGTTGCTGCGAAGGCAGCGGGCAAGAAGATTGTGGCTGTGACATCGAGTAGTGTAGTCTTCGAAAACACCGCGCTGATCCTCCCGGCGTTGGAGGCGCTGAAGGATAGGGAGGATGTGTTTGTCATGGCGACGCTGGTTACGTCGGAGGCTGGGGGTTTTGACGTCCCAAAGAATGCGAGGGTGGAGAAGTTTATCCCCGTGGATTTGGCGCTTCCTTATGTGAGTTGGTTCTTTCTCTGACAGAGATGTCGTACTAATGTGAGTGTAGGTCGATGTCCTCATCACGAATGGCGGATACGGCACCATCCAACAAGGCCTACGCGCAGGCGTTCCAATGATCGTATCCGGCGTCGGGCAAGACAAGTCGCACACGGGCGGAATTATCAACTATGTCGGCGTTGGTATATATAATGCGGTCTACAAGACGAACCCGAAGATGATTGCCGACTCATTCGACGAAATTTTGAATAATGCGAGCTATAGGTATGTGCAAGTACGACTGGGAATGGGAGAGTAATGCTGACCAAGAGCAGAGAAACTTCGAAACGGCTTGCAAAGGAGTATGAGAAATACGATGCAGTGGAGATTGCGGATGAGACGATTCAGCAGGTTCTGAGGGGGGAGTATAAGGTTGAGAAGTGGAATTAGGGGATATTGTGAGGTGGGCTGTTAGCAGTCTTGTATTATTCAATGGTGATGTATGTAGCTGTTGATGATGCCGATATTGTGTCGATGGCTGTCACAGCTGTCAATCACATCGCAACCGATGTGATGTAGTCGCATTTGAGTTTCTCGAAACACTGAAGAAAACATGCAGATGCTTTGTCCGTGAATTTGGCCGAGCGGCATGCGATGCGCAAACTGTCCTCCACAACATTGGAATGGAGTGAGTGACGCAAGCACCTCACGAGACCTGCACCAGCTGCGGGCGATCACTCTTCTACCTTCTAGACCCTCTGACGCGTCGTCACTTCATGCACCAACACCAACAACTGTATATCCATCACGACTCTCGGTTTGTTGGACTGCCCATCGACATTAACGCAATCGGACCGTCATCAACAGCGTCCCTGGGTTTCATTATCGTCTATCGCCAAAGCCGCGCCCGCCGCGATACGCAGGGCAGCTCGACGGCGACCCCACCGTTCGTCCCCGCTATACAAGCTAAAGCACATCACTCGCAGCACGCCACCGAGGGATTGTATTTCTGATTCGACGGGGAAGGCGGTCCGTTTACTTGCGACACGGCGGTTCCCTGCAGGCAACGCGACAAGTCGAGTCTGTCGAGGGGCGCCATTTACATTTGGCAACGAACTATTCCTGCATTACTCGAGAACGGTAAACGGAAGGTTGTGCATAAGGTCCCAATATGTCTATCAAGTCAGTACCGCTCCCATTCTTTGTGTCTCTCTACTCTCTTCTTACTTGTCTGCGACTTTCTTTTCTTTGGTTCTGGGTGGTTTTGGTGCTGCTTGCCCCTCGCTACCCCGCGGAAGCTCGAGTGAAGCCTAGAACACAGGCAGCTTCCGGGAACAGCAACGATGAAGTCGGGGTCGAAAGCAAAGTCTAACCGCAAGCCTAGTTGGGTTATGCTCGCTGATGGCGGCGGATATACGCCTCTGCCGGGCGAAACGACGCTCTACCAGTCTCCACCACGCACGACGCTGTCGCTGCAGACGAGCCATCGGCATTCGCCCAGCGAGTCGTATTCCCAGCAATGCAAGTCGGGCGTTGTATACCTCACGAACCGACGGGTACTTTCTCTCACATGACCTTGGCAGCCTCGCCATACTAACGCCCCTGAAGATAATCTACCTCCCCGTCTCGCCCACACCAACGCTCCAATCCTTCGCCGTCCCCATCCTCAACGTCACCGACTCGCGCGTAACAGCCCCATGGTTCGGCGCCAACAAATGGGAAGCCCTCATCCAGCCCGTCTCGGGCGGCGGCATACCCTCGCAGCACGCTGAGCTCGACATGGTCATGGAGTTCAAGGAAGGCGGCGCCTTTGATTTTGCCAGCACATTCGAGCGCCTCAAGGAGCGGTTACGGCAGGCTGTCGACGTGGCCCGGGAAAGCGGGGCGGACGCAGAAGACGGAGGCCGCAGCATCAACATGAGCAATGTGCATCTAGAGGATTTACCGGCGTACGAGGAGAGCGGGACACATACACGAGTGGCAGAGCCCGTCCCCAGCGAGCGGACAGAGAGCGCAGCAATGCCTGCTCCTCAGCCTACGAGTCCGCGACAACGAGCGAGCCCTGTGCCGAGTCCACAGGCGGCAAACTTCCAACCACCGCTGGAACCGCCGCCGGGATATGAGGAGGCGCAGAGAGATAGCATAGTCGATGAGCTGGAGAGACAGGTACGGAGGATGAGTAATGATTGATGGGTTGGAGCATAACTTTGGGCTCAGCGCGGTGTTCAGGGTGCATGTTCATATGGGAGCGATACATGAGGCTGACTACAGTTGCATTTGCTTGCAGATTTGGAGGTTGTCTGCAATATACGGGGCTTCACATGTCCGACGCGCGCTTTCGTCGTGTTCCAAGAGCCTGTGCATGAACTGTCCACAAAAATGCGTCCAACCTGACAGCATGTGAACGTCAAAAGCACCCCGTGGACACTACAAGCGTGCAGCAGTGCAGCAGCGGCCAACGCCGCGCGCATCCTCTAACATGTGAAACGCGCCGCTTTACGCATGTGAAAACCCATGACGCGCCCCCACAAAATTGCTAGTCCGAATGCGGAAGATGCCTCGGTCGATTTTGAAAGCGGATGACCTCCAGCTTAAGCTTCGGATGCGCGTAGCTTCTACCACGACAGACACTTCTTGAGCTGAATCTGACTTTTACTCCTTCACTTCATCGAGGATCATCATGGCGAACCAGGCACCGAACAAAGGTATGTGGTGCTGGCGTATAGATCTAAATGTCATGGCATTGGTGACTGACGACGACAATAGCTCAAGAGCGCCTCTCGCAGGTTGCAGACCACATGTCTGGAGCTTCAAGCAAGAAGGGCAAGGCCAGCTTGTTGGAGAAGCACCCCGATGATGTACGTATCTCTCCACTTCACTTACTGTTTGAAGGAGAAGAAGAAGAAGAAGAAGAAGTGGTTTGCACCCGATACACAACCACCCACCACCACTCTTCATACCAAAGCAATATCTTCTCGTCCTTCACTAACACCTCTCCAGATCGTCGTAACATGCGCCCTCCGCACGCCCTTCACAAAGGGCGGCAAAGGCGGCCTCAAAGACACCCAAGCCGCCGACCTCCTCACCGGCGCCTTCAAAGCGCTCCTCAACCGCTCGAAAATCGACCCCAACCTCGTCGAAGACATCGCTGTCGGCGCCGTCCTCGCCCCCGGCGGTGGCGCCACAGAATTCCGCGCCGCCGCCCTGGCCGCCGGCTTCCCCGTCACCACCTCGTGCAAGTCGCTCAACCGGCAATGCTCGTCGGGCCTGCAAGCGTGCGTCGACATTGCCAACGCAATCAAATCCGGCATGATTGAAATCGGCATCGGCGCGGGCGCAGAGTCCATGTCGACGCAATACGGGCCCGGCGCCGTCTCTGAATTCTCGCCCTTGCTCGAATCCCACAGGGAGAGCGCAAACTGCAAAGTCCCCATGGGCGTGCTGAGCGAGCAAATGGCCAAGGCTAAAGGCATCCCGAGGTCCGCACAGGACGCGTTTGCCGCCAGCTCGTTCCAGAAGGCCATCGAGGCGCAGAAGCAGGGGCTTTTTGATGCCGAGATCGCGCCGTTGACGGTGCAGTGGACGGACCCCAAGACGGACGAGGAGAAGACGATTACCGTCGCCAAGGACGATGGCGTCAGGGAAGGGTATTACTGCGGAATCGCTGGCCAAGAATTCGTCCCGGCCTTCTCAAAGGACGGCTCGATCCATGCGGGTAACGCGTCGCAAATCTCAGACGGCGCGGCCGCCGTGCTGCTCATGAAGCGCAGCACCGCGCAGCGCCTCGGGCAGACTATTGTCGGGAAATTCGTGCAGGCCAGCATCGTCGGCGTGCCGCCTCTACTCATGGGCGTGGGTCCCGCGGCTGCTATCCCGCCGGTCCTCGAGAGAGACGGGCTTGTCCACTGGTGATGTGGATATCTGGGAAATCAACGAGGCTTTTGCGAGCCAGTGTCTGTACTGCATCAAGGAGCTGGGCATCGATGAGAAGAAGGTGAATCCCAAGGGCGGCGCGATTGCGTTTGGACATCCCCTGGGAGTCACGGGGGCGAGGCAGGTTAGCACGCTGTTGACGGAGCTGAAGAGGACGGGCAAGAAGATTGGTGTGACGAGTATGTGCGTGGGCACGGGCATGGGCATGGCGGCGGTTTGGGTGGCGGAGTAGAACCAAATATGTATTATGATATTGAGGGGAGCAGATGGCGAATATCATCATGTTGACACATCACAACGACTCCTCCCTCTCCGTAACTGTCCACCTCCTCTTCGGCCCTGGTCGGTGCTCATATACATCGTCCAGCCTCGGTGGACCCCAGAGTCCCGCAGCACTCTTCGGCTGCGTCTTTGCGCCCCAGAGACCACCTCCACTACCAGATGCATTCCCCCCAGCTCTACCATTCGCCTGTGTTTTCGGCAGAGGAGCCAGAGGCGCCACACTATCACTAACTTCATGCCGCTCATTAGTATTGAGTCTCTCCAAGCCGTTCGTAATATCTGCAGCACCATCAAAGGCCGAGATGCTCGGTTCAACATTGCTCGTGGTCTTGCGTGGCTGGGACGTTGCATTAGGAGTAGCAACTCCATCACTCCCGCCAGGCGTCACTGCAGGCGAGGGTTTAGCGCTACCCCACAACCCCCCTGGTGCTGTCGATGTGCTGCCTGGATTGAGATTGCTCTGCGTGTACAGCTTGTTTGAGCCCGAGCTCATAGTGCGCCGCTGCAATCCTGCTGAGCTGTTCCAGGTCCTGAAAGGATCAACGGGTGTGTCGCCTGGGCTACTAGCCGCCGAGCCTCCCATACGCCTCCTCGCTTCCAGAGACGGGCTTGCAAGCACAGCTGGAGAATTTGTGCGTGATTGTGACTGTAGCTTTGAGGGATCGGTGCCGGGTTTGAGATGGTCGACTGAAGCCATGATTTTCATGTCGTATGTTTCTGCCATGCCGGGGTCTGCCACAGATAGTCGACGTTCGTGGATTGTAGCCTCAGACGGCTCTCGAGGTACTTCCCTCCGCACTGCCATGGAGAGCGAAGCGAGACCAATGTCCATGAGGACCGGCTGGTTGGCCATGGCACCAAGCAAGGCGTTGCAGCCAGCACCATGCGTCATGATGATGAGAACAAGCTCCTCGTCCTCGTCTGGTCCGTCTCCCTTGTCGAGTGAAAAGGGCTCGGTTGGACGTTTTGCAGCCGGGACTGGTGTCAATCTCAACGGCTCCTTGAACATGAAGCCCGAGATTTGGTTCTTCGGGGGCGTCGCGCCATGCTCTCTGTACCAGTCCATCATGCCCGTCAGTCCCCTTCGGAAGCGCTTGTGCATGGTACTCCACTCGTCTCCGTACTCGCCGCCATCACCCCATTCCTGTGGAGGCCGCATGCTGTCCCACTGGAAGTCGACTACTATGCAAGCCTCTCGCGCATGGGCAAAGTAGCCTCGAGGGATGTGGTCGGCAGGTGATACCGAGTAGGTTGGGACTGGCGGCTCGTAGACTCGGCTGTTCGGGTTCTGTGCGGCTGGTGCGAGCGAAGTTAGATTTTCTCTCGACTTGGTGCGCTGGAGGGGCGAGGCACCCTGGCTGCTTGAGCGTTCTCGGTTGAAGGGTGATGCTGCAGCCAGACTGCGGACTTTAGAACGTGGCTTGTGGTCTGTCTCTGGCTGAGCAGCTGCTGAAGCACCTTTGCCCATCCAGCCGCCTGGGAAGAAGCCCTTGCTCGTCTTGGTGGGCGACATTTCCAGCATAGCGTCCCCCCTACGCAACAAGTCTGCCTTTGCTCCTGCCACCATGAGCGTCGAGTTTGGCGGGGGCGTAATGTCTTCATAGTAGTCGGGCGACAGCCATTCGCCGAGGAATGCATCGACTCGTAGCAGTACTCTCTCGGGGCCAGCATGAGGTTTGTGAGAGTTCTGGGCTTTGGGGTCGGCCAGCGGTGTAATGTACGGGCTGCCCTGGGAAGGCTTTGCCTGTTTTGGCTTTTCTGTCGCTGCAGCCTTCTCTTTTGAGGGTACCGGTACCCCCAATTGAGGCACAGTGGGCGGATTGAATTGCGAGATGCCAGCCGCGACCGCCGTGCTCGTCTGGATGCATCTCAAGTACGGGCTCGAATGTATGACAATCTTGCGCTTCTTCTTCGGCCGGGGTGATTCTCCGCTGGCAACACTCTTTGCAGCCTCCAGTTGTTCATTGTCACGTTGGTGTAGCAGAGCTGCTATGCGCAGACCGAGGGCTCGTCCCTGTTGCCAGCCGCCGAATGTGAGGGGCGGGTCGTAGGGCGTGGGCGAGGTAAGATGCCATGTCTTGTCAGCAGCGTCGAGGCGTGCACCGTGTCTTGGGCAGTGTCAGCACATATGCGCAATGCTAGCAATATTGTCTGGCTGTCGGGTACCTGGCGACGACTACAACTGCGGGACCCTTGGCCATGGCCGCTAAACTTTCGCGCCGTGTAAGTAGGTACCTGTATTACGACCTGCTGAGACGGCCGTGTACGGAACGGTTGTCGCACGACGCGATATATTCAAGGAATGTGAATGCCCGGTCGCGACTGTCTTGCTGTTGCCAATTTGGAGGGAAACGGCAGAATCGAGTGTTGTTCAAGTGATGCACGAGTACTGGTGAACTTTTGCTGGCCCCCAAGCTATGACACTCCGCTTTATGAGGGGTTCCTCGTAATTTCACACCCACACGCCTCAGTTGGAGGGGTCGTACTACAATCTGTTTTCGAGCTTATTGACGCCTCTGTGCAGAGCACGTGGCTGCCAAACGCGTGAGGTCACGTCAAGGTAAGCTCACCTCTGTTGGAGGAAGGCGCGGGGTTGGCAGAAGCTTTGACGCGGGATCAAGTGGAGTCACTTCACCAAGCTTCGAGACCCTGTGCATATCAAGAGAGAGCTATTGACCAGCCAGGTTTGTTCTGTACCTCTGAGAGAGCATGCATCTCAACATCTCCTCATATGTCAGAATAGTTCTTCCGCCAATGGGTCTTTCAAACCAATCGATGCTGTGTAGCCATGTAAGTATTTTGCTTGAGCGGGTATTGTGCACAAAAGAGTATCACAAGCGCCTATCCCACGGCGTCAGTTCCAACACTTCCATTTCAACAGACTTGCTGCCCGTCTCCTTGTGAATAACACGAGCTTGAAAGAGCGAATTCATTCCAAGCTCACCATCTCAAACTTTACATCCTCTCGTCCCAATGCCTCTCCATTCATGAACCCATGAAGATATGCTCCACCAACCAATCGGTACCGCTCACTTCCCTCAACCGCCCGAAAAATCAGCGGAATACGGCTTCCCGGGGCGATCCAAACACTATCACCTTTCCTCAAGCACTGCGTCCCGATGCCAAAGTATCCCAGCTCAGTGGAAAATGGCCGGATCAAGGACGCATGCGAGTAATGCGTATCAAACAACGACGCTCTGCGTTCTAAGTTTGCGAGGTAAGAAGCGTCGAGGACACTCTGGTCTCGTGCTTGTACGATCTCTTCTTGCGTTGGTAAGTTTGATGAGACAGGAAATGTGGTGGCGTGTGGCAAGGTGGACGTAACGACATATCTCCAGAGGACCCAGTCACGAAAAGACGAACCGAGAGGCTCTGGTGATGCGGGATATCTGGGGTTGATGGGCTTTGATGGCGTGCCTCCTTCTTCTCTGTTCGTTACTAGTGCGCGCCAGACTGCTTCTTCACGACTCTGTCCGGGTTGTTGCGTACCCATCGTTGAGTTTGGACAGCATTCTCCAGAGACCTGACGGGCTTTTGCGTAGTTCTGGTTTCGTCCCGCCAGCTTCTGAAATATTGTCGAGCTTGGTGGCTCTGATGGTCAGCATGTGCTTACCACTTTTGTCAATTGAGAGCTCATGTTGCTTTGGAAGATCAAGAGCGGCCTTGAAAGCTGTGTAGCCGGTTCCTCGAAGACCCAGTGTCTTGTTGACGCTCCAGTCAGGTACCCAAGATGGCAGGCCCGGAATTGTTTGAAAGTCTTCTCCTTCTACACAGGTAAGCAGTAAGAGGCTCTTTGAGTTGGTCAAGATGTATTTGGCAGCCGTGATGTATGCATCCTGGACAGATGCGCGATAATCGGGAATTATATCGGCATTCCCAAGGCCTAATTGAGAGTACACCTTATCTCGCGCGTTCTCAGAATCCGAAGAGCGCGCTCGGATAAGAGCGTGTAAGAATTTGTCATCGTGGTTCGAAAGCCACGTCTTTTGCGCAGCTGCAAGCCTTGCAGGCGTATTGTGTCCTATATTCGTGGTTGTGTGTCCAACCTGTCTAGTCGTCCGTTTAAGGAGGGTAGTCCAGCTCGAAGTGGCAAGAAATTGCGAGAACAGACTCATATCCGCCCAGGAAATCGAGTAACTTCCGCAGATCAATACGACTGCCTGTGCAAGTACAACTTCTTGTATACTGGCACAGCGCACGGGACGCGTCAGTGAAGGCATCCAGGACCTTGCGAGTCGTACTCACATCCACGCGCGGTTGAACCACTCTCGTTGGAAGAATCGTGCTAGCGCTTGCCAGTTGTTCGAGTCCAGGAATCTGTTTGAATGACCCTCTCTAACCTCTGTGTGGTGTAGGCTAAGTCGAGTTTCTCTTTCGAGCTGAAGCAGGCCATGCATCAGTTCGACAGCAGGTTTAGTGTATCGATCGTCCGGCCCAAGCCAGACCACGACTCTGGTCGCCCTTTGGTAGATGGCGCTCATGATCTTGACTTGCTCACAGCGCTCTTGTATGTCTGCTTGATTGATAGCCAAAGCGTCGATCCACCAATAACCACTTAGACCATGGACAGTATCACGCGCGCAGTGAGCAAGAAAGTCATAGAGATTTTCACCGACCCTGCCATCGTTCCCATTGCACTTCAGCTGTCGTGATAGACTTGGCGTATCTATGCGCAATTTGTTGATATTCCGATGAGGTGCGCCCCAGGTGTACGATAAGGCTGTATACGGTGGAGCAGTATCCAGGTTGTGAACAGTCAGCGTGCAGCTTAGTGGACGATGGGAGCCGGAAGTTTTGGCTTCGACTTGGAGCAACCGTATTTGGCCAGGCTGAAGCTCATTGTATGGCGTTGTGGAAGTCCATTTCGGTGTTGGGTCTGGCTTGTGCTGTTCTTCGACATGTGCGCCCTGATCTGAATCCATTAAGATTGCCGTAAATAAGAACGATAAACATGGAAACACTCGGGTATACCGACTATCGAACGCCAAGGAGGAGGGTTAAGTGAGATCGTGCTTGGTATGAAGGGTAGAGGACCTTTACATGCCCCACCATCCTCCAATTTGGTGACATGCGGGTAGGCTTCAGCTGAGTCGAGAGGCTTAGATGGCTGCCAGTAGTGCTTTGAAGGCTGCAGGAGGCTAAATCCCAAACCGATCGAGCTGAGGAAAAGTAGCGTGGGGGCCGTCACTTCCCTCACTGTATGGGAAGGAGCCTCACACTACAATTGCACAGCCCGCAACCTCACGCTAACCTTGCGGCCTGTTCATTCTACATATTGCACCACGTTTTGCGGACATACACTTGCCGTATTACATTATTCTTTGTTCCCGCCGCCGTATACTATCACTCGCAACATCAGTCTGTGCCTTCCATCACCATGTCTGACTCATCATGGCACTTCGAAGCTCAACGAGGATTCTTCTCCCACGACAATGATCCCGAGATATGGAAGTTTAGAGCTGTCACCCAGCCGAGCCTGGGACTGCTCGGCCGATCATATCCCACCGATGACGAGTATTGGGCCAAACAAGGCGGGTCACCCAGCGACCCTGCGCATTCGAAATGGCCTCGCTTTCAACACTACCTCACATATCTGAATGCTAAGAATTCGGGGCAGGAGAAGTACAAGATGCTCTACATTGTCCGCCATGGCCAAGGCGTGCACAACGTGGTGGAGGAAGAAGTTGGTCGTGACGAATGGAATGTATGTCCAGCCCACCACAGACAACTCAACCGAAGCCTGATCAGATTAGCGATACTGGGCAAAAGTCCCCGGTGACGGCAGCAGACGTTGGCTCGACGCAGATCTCACGCCGCATGGCGAGCAACAAGCAACAGACATATCGTCCCTCTGGGTACCAGGCGGTGTAGACCCCCCGAGATCAATATACACAAGTCCGTTGCGCCGATGCTTGCAAACTACTCAACTTGGATTCGCGCCGCTCATCAAGGAGAGAGTTCCCGTCATCAAGGAGAGGTTGCGGGAGCGTCTTGGTGTGCATACTTGCGACCAGCGCAGCTCCAAGACCTGGATCACCAGCACTTTCCCGGAGTTCCGAATTGAAGATGGATTCGCAGAGAAGGATGAATTGTGGAAAGCTGAGCAACGAGAGACGATCGATCAGCACGCGGAAAGAGCAAAGGAACTGTTGAGCGACCTCTTTGATAACGATGATAACCAGACGATTGCACTGGTGGCACACTCAGGAGCGCTCATGGCGCTGTTCAAAGCGACGGGATGGGGGAAGATTCCGGTGCAAGCAGGCGCCGTGTATCCTCTGCTAGTACGAGGGACTAGGGCGAATTGAGCTGTAAGTCAGTGAAGGATACTTACTCCTGAAGTTAGTCGCAGGCTCTCTCTACTCATTTGCTTGGACTGTTGTCTCAGTGTTGCTACATCAGTTAGATCTCACTCATTCAGAGGTTACCTCTTCAAGCTGCACCAGAATCAATTGTCGGCAAGCCGTTGGATGAGGTACGTGCGCAGCAGCAGCCACAAGTCATGGGTGTGGGGACATGCTTGGCACGACTGCTTAATGCCCTACCCCACAGCCCAACCCACGGTCGGCGGCATGGACTAAGAGCACTAAATGCATGAAAGCCCACTGAATGCATGGATGTCGGGTTCCAGGCCATGCAAAGCAGTCGATGGGTGCAGGGCGCCAGATCTCACCGGATGAGACAGGCGCGACGTGTCCTCTACCGGTCAGCGCACTCGTGAGTCATTCGGCTGGCCACGGAGAAGACTGCGGCGCGGCACCGACCATGGAACAGGCAACATCCTGAGCAAACCACAAATCACAAAACCACCACTGTCGCTTTTACCTGCTCGCCTTCCCTGTGCACTTGTTCGCCGGCAGGCGTCTTTTGTTTTCTGCAGCAGCATGATTGTGCCCTGTCTTTGTTATATGCCGTTGGTGTTCTGCTGCCGTGCATGCCACGGTGACAAAGCTAGACGCGCAACGTGTCTCAGACGTGTGAGCGCATTCCAGGGCGGCGAGAGGGCGAGAGGGCGAGAGGGCGAGAGGCAGCGCGGACGACTCGAGAATTTGCCGCATCAGGCAGCTGCGATAGAATTTTCGTCGTCGTGATGCGCCGGCGAAAATTCGAGTGAGGCGACGACTAGGGTGAGCGGTCGGGGGCGAATCGCTTGCTCCGTTGCGATCTGCTCGACGCTCGCCTGTGCAGCGTCATCACTGGTAATGACGAGAGGCGGCCGGGTGCATCCAGTCGACACGGCAGCGCATCACGGCTGCACAGCTGCACGGGGCGAGGGTGTGCGTGAAGGGAGTCTGCAAGGCGGGTGAGGTGACTAGCAGCTCACTTGAATGCCCCGGGTGTCGCAGCACGCGAGGGTGAAGGCAGAGAGTGAATGGGCAGCGGCGTGCGCATCGACTGCTGGAGCCCCCTATTCACGCAGGGGCGCTAGGTAAAGCAGCGAGCCTGCTTGCGGTGCGCTTGGGGCCCACTTGTCGCGCACGGGCCGCCAGGCTACCGCGCATATAAAGACTGCGCCTGCCCCCTACTTTTCCATTCTTTTGGTCGCCTTGTCCCGCTCGCTGCACCACACAACCCCTCCGCACCACCCACGACGCCAGCTCGGAAACACTGCTTTTCAACTGCGCGCTCACTAATACTGCGATTCGGGACAACCGTGTGCTAATTTCGCACACTTACACTCTCTCGGAAGTCGGAGAGCAATTTTCGCGATCGGCACTAGCCACATCCGCGCGCGAACAGCCTTGCGAGCAACCTCCCCCACAGGTCGCATCTCGAGCTTCTCCCTGCCAAAGGCTTGCTGGCTTCGCTTTTGGTCACTCTCCACCCACTAGACTAACCCTCTGTCCTCCGCGACAGCCACACACCATCCGCGACATTCTTGTCAGCGTTTGCGAGGGACACATTCGCTTGTAGCTCTCCTGCGACCGGTACGGGCCTCACCCACTCCAAGACCTACCCAGCTCCAGTCCCTCACCGGTGTCGACCGACCTCGCTCCCCATCGCGATCTCGTAGTCCGCCGGCCTGAACGTCGCTGTCACCGAAGACCCTATTCTGACCTGCGCAGCCTGCCAAGACGTCACACTCTATCCTTCCATAGCATCAATCATGGATCCCAACTCCCTAAACTCTCATCCGTCCACCGCCGCCCAGGCCAAGACGGTAAGCTTCAGTGATGTTTGTATCGTTTCCAACCTGTTCTAACGTTCTCTCTTAGTTCGTGGCTCCGGGCTCCCTCTCGTTTCCCAACCAAGGGGACCTGACTCCACCGTCCTCTGAGAAGAACGCGCAGCAGGAGGCCACCAACGCGAACGGCGTTGCGACTCCTGCGGCTACTCCAGACACCCAGAATGGCCAAGTGCCCTCGGGTATCGTGCCTACTCTTCAGAACATTGTGGCAACCGTCAACCTCTCCGCTCGCCTTGACCTGAAGACCATCGCTCTGCATGCGCGTAACGCCGAGTACAACCCGAAGCGTTTCGCTGCCGTCATCATGCGTATCCGTGAGCCCAAGACGACGGCTCTGGTCTTTGCGAGTGGCAAGATGGTTGTTACTGGTGCCAAGTCTGAGGACGATAGCCGCCTCGCTTCCCGCAAATATGCGCGGATTATCCAGAAGCTGGGGTTCAACGCAAAGTTCACCGTACGTTGTGCAGGATGAATCGTCCTTGGCCATCGCTAACATCGTGATAGGACTTCAAGATCCAGAACATTGTTGGCTCCTGCGACATCAAGTTCCCCATTCGCTTGGAGGGTCTTGCATCGCGCCATCACACTTTCTCGTCTTACGAGCCTGAACTGTTCCCTGGTCTCATCTACCGCATGATGAAGCCCAAGATTGTCCTGCTCATCTTCGTCAGCGGCAAGATTGTCCTTACTGGTGCCAAGGTCCGTGAAGAGATCTACCAGGCTTTCGAGCTCATCTACCCCGTCTTGTCGGATTTCCGCAAGTCATAGACGTCTTCCATACGTCGAGCTGCGAGTGGCTTCCAGCTCACCTTACACACATTCCCAATTTTTGCGGCATTGCATGGCGTCACGGTGGTTTTTCTTTTTGATGGCTTTTCAAAATTCCCCAATCTTCTTCTACACAACAACTAGACATGCGCACGAGGGGAGCAAACACCTCCGGTAATCTCTTGTCTTGATGGGGGCTTCCTTTTCACACACTTCATCACCGGGTACGATAAGTCAGAGGGGTATGGTTACGCGTGGGCACGACAGCGAGATTGATTCACTCTATGGGGCGCGCGTGGCTTGTGCAGGCGTAAAAGCTTGCACCGAGAGCTCTCTACGACGGCCTGTGCGATGTCTGAGCTTCTCGAGATTTGTGCTTTTCAGCATTTATCGTGAACATCTTTTCTCTCCACTTCCCTGAGCGGGATAGGACTGATAGTAATGTCATCACGATACGATAACCTTGTCCTTACCTTGCGTGATGCCTGCCTGATCCATATGAGACTGTAACCATCCTTTGCACCTTTGTTCGTGTCGTGCGTAGCCTCTGCGCTCTTTCTCGTGTCTCGGGTCCGAGGCCTTTGTGCACCACTGCTGTCCCTGGCTGGCCGTAGGTTTGACTGCATCGACCCCCATGCTGTATGTCCCCTGCAGTCGATGTCTTGAGTTCTGAAATCCATCGCCAACCTCCTCACCCCCGATCAATCGCATATTGATACGGCAGCTCTCCCTCGCTCGGATTCGGATGCAGCCTGATAACCGACCTCTCCGACCTCAGCGACGAACTCGACGAATTCGGTAGTATCGTAGACGGACTGCGATGGATCACGACCGACCCCGTCTCTGATTGCGTGCGCAGCGACGGCGTACGCGGCACATCGAACAGCCCCATCGGACTCCGTGGCTGCTGATGCGACGGCGCCGTCTGCGCCGTCTGCGGACTCGACGGCACGTCGTCGGCATACGTACTCGGCGTATCAGGCCGCTGGCGGTCGAGAAGGGGCGTGCGAAAAGGTACATGGTGTGAGGAAATGCTACTGCTACTGCTAGATTCGGTGGGCGCCAGGCTACGCGTATCAGAAGCGATGCTCTGCGCGCGCGCCTCGTCGATGACGTCTTGATCGAGATGCGCCATGCCGTTGAGGATGTCTGCGAAGACGGCCATGATGTTGCGAAATTCGGGCTCTGTAAGCGAGGCCGTGGAGAAGCGCGCGTATTCGTATTGTGCGAGGAACGTGGCGCCGAGGTCTGGGGGGTTGAGGAGACCGAAGGAGGCGAGGCGCGCAAGATAGGAGCGGAGACCCATGGTGCGTGGGCGTTGGAGGAGAGTGACGATTTGCGCGTCGGGGAGAGGGGGCGGCGTTGTCGGGGTATTGGAGGGCGGCGTCTTCGACGGCGGGATCGGGGGGTGCGAGGGAGACGGCTTTGGCTTCAATGAGGTTGGGGAGTTCGCATATTACGCTCCAGTATTGGAGGTTTGGGAGGTCTGGGGAGGATGGAGATGCCCAGCCGGGGTGCGAGACATAGCCCCAGGGAGGGTTGTCTGTGGTCACGGGCAGGATGGTGGTTTCCATGCCGTGGTCGTCGCTCTTCTTCTTCTTGTGCGCTTTGCCCTTGTCCTTCTCCTTCTCTGCGGTGTTTGGCCTAGACGTGCCCTCGCCATTTCGACCTTCTTCCTCCCTGCGCAAGTCCCTGGGCCTGCTGTCCCATGCTACAATTGCACTCCTCCTCAGCTCTTTCGCAATCATGCGCCTCACGCCTTTACCAACTTCGCCTTCTTCCACCGGTATGTAGGGTTTAGGTATCGCCGATAGCACCGTACCGGTTCGTATAAATGCGCGTCGAGTAGATGAGAAGCACAATCGAAAAAGTAAGGAAGTAGACGCCGCCAATGACAAAGAGCTTCTGTAGTTCTTTGCTCTTGACCGATTGGTAGATGGTGTCGGCAGGCGCGACCGCAAGAATGAGGAGCAGCAGGATAAGGATAGTCGTGTACGTGGTCGAGTACCAGATGCGGAAGAGGGGGATGCGCATTGTCGCGATGGTGTCGGGGTTCACGTGCAAGAGCTAAGGTATGCATCGGTGGGGATATATTAGAAATTAGAGCTACGTGGGAGCTTTACATTATGACTGCGATGTGGTGAGAGGAAGAGTGGTGGACTGGGATGCACGAATCCGGGAGGTGGGAAGCTGCCAAGGCACTGACGCATGTGTGCACGTCTCCACAAGGTTTATTATTAGCCAAGTCCAACGACGTCTCCTTTTCCCCCTCTTCAAGAATCACGTGGAGTAATGCAATGCACAAGCATCTATCAGAGTAAGTCGTGGTGGTCTTTTTCGCTATATCACAAGTCGACTCTCTCGCAATTGCTACTTCTCCTGCCTCTGTCAGGCGCTTCAGACGCTCCTTAATCACTGACGCTAAGAGAGGATCTTTGCATGTTCAGACGGGGAAGCCTAAAGGTTTCTACAGCATGCAGTTCATCCCGCTACGCAATAAAGGAGCTGTGTGCAGCTTCAGGGCGTATCATTAGACACGGATTTCATGCTGCGATTCACATCGCCAACTGTCTGCATGATCTTTCGAAAACCCATAGAAGATAAAGTACCAGGCTCATCTCCTACGTATTCCACTAACTCAATGCTGGAACGTGCAGCTCTTAGCCATCCACGGTCCTCCCATTCTCTCCAAATCTCTCTCGTCCCCTATGAAATCTCACTACCATCTGACACTTCAAAATCCCCGTCCCCATCCTCCCCATCCTCCCCATCCCCAAAGTCCTCCTCCTCACTATCCAAGAAGTCCTCGTCCCCCAACGCAAACTCTCTATCCCTAGCCTCCCTATCCCTCCTCTTCTGCGCATCAACCTCGAACTCGTGTATCCGCCTCAACGCCTCCCGCTCCCGCTCCCGGGTCTGCATAACCCCCACAACTGATACCATAACGCGCGCCTCGCCGTACTCTGGCCCCAGCGTGTGCACGATGTCATTGATATCTTGCTGCGCGATGGCGTCGCTGATGGTTTTGAAGAGGATGCGCGCGCAGGTTGGGCAGGAGTTGCCAACGTCGAGCCAGGCGGAGAGACAGAGAGCGCCGTGTGTATGGCCGCAGGCGTTGATGTGTACGGTGGGGTGGTAGCCGCGCTGGAGGGAGCGCGGGCTGGTGTGGTTCGGGTGCATGGCGAGGGGCTGTTGGCAGATGGAGCAGTCTTGCGTGAGGTTTGTGGATGACAGCTTGATGGTTTCGAGACCGAGAGATTGGAAGGCGGCTTTGGAGGCGTAGACTGTCATGGTGGGTAGATTTTGGTGGATGTTGGTTGCGCGGGTGATGTAAGTGAAGAGGTTGATGATGCCAGGTGAGTAAACGAGGAGAGGTTGCGAGTGAGAATCCAAGAGCTCAGGAACAAGATTGCGTGGAGGCAGCAGCAGATTCGGGTACGAGACTGTACGCGCTGTGCGTTGGAAGCTGGGTGAAAGAGGCTCAAGCACTGGCTATGTAAGTGATAAGCTCAAGTCGAGCGAGGTAATTGATGCGGCCCGCACTGTCTGATTAATACCTGCCTTGAACTCGCGACTTCTCTTCCGGTTACATTTCAGCCTGTATACCTTCACGGACGTTTCAATATATACTTGTACCCGAAACTGCTTCCTGACATATCCAGGCTCGGTGAATATGAAATTTTGTTTCTTCACTTGAGCAAGTTAATCTGAGGTCCCTTGTTGCCATGTAAGGTGAGAGCACAGCAAACGTGCATTGCGCTCACAAACGGATCACTGTCGCCCATTCCGCAAAGTCTCACTTGCCTATTCCCCCTTTGTCTCTTTACCATACCTTTAAATAGTGTACATATTTCAATTAAATCAAGGATATCTCATGAATTAGAACCAACCCCAAGAATCATCTGTTAAACCCTGGATGCGACTATGGGGTCTGGGCCTTGGAGTATACCGTGTGTTGTGAGATTGATTCCTCCGCAGTTCCAGTCCGCATTGTGGAAGATTTTGGTTTTCTCGCTACTTTTTTTGGTTTGTTACGATGAAGACCGTGGTACGCGTCAATTAGTTAACCACCCAACTACCTAGGTATTAGTCTTTAATTTTTGCAACCATGAAATCGTCCCTTAGAGCACCGGATCCATTTTTCTATTATAGAAGAAGGTATATAACCCTCGCAACCCCTCCTTCTTGTTCCACTTCATCTCTAAAAACACTTTCACATACCCATACCCAAAAACCCACTACCGCAGGACACACAACCCCTTCATACCCACCCCAACTCCCACAATCACAAAAATGAAGCCCACCGTCCTTCTCACCACACTCTTCGCCACCCTCGCGGCCGCAGCACCAGTCCCCCCGATCGACATGGTTTCCAACGTGTGCCCTCAGGGCGAGACCAACACTATAGTCCCGCCAGATGGGTTGTCAAACGCATATCCTGAGAGGGACATGCCGTCGAGCAAGCAGGACAGGGATCTGGGGGGTATGTGCAAGAAGTTCTGCGGGGTTAATCCGTGGATGTGCAAGTTTTGCGAGCCGGTGAAGCCTGCAGAGGCATGAAAGGGTGTGTGTATCAGTGTAGCGGTGTCATATGTTCGCTGTCGAGAATGGTGGGGTTGATCACACACTGGAATATATTGTGTTCGGAGATGATGTTATGTGATACATTGACGTTCTATCCGCCCTGTACTAGATATAATACATACTTGCTTGCTTGCACCGCTCCTTGTGCATTACTTGGGTATCTCCATCTTCCTCCTCTACATCTTCTCCTTCTCCCCGAGCCCCACCTTCCCAACCGCCCTGTCCAACCCACTCCACCTCCTCACAAGCGCCTGCACGCCCACTGGCAGTATCGCAAAAAACCCAACATACTGCGAATACATGGGGATCGCCACCTCGCCACTCTCGCCCCTCTCTACTAGCCTAATGATGCTCTTCGCCAGCATCGCCGGCGTCGCCGTGGGCGCGAAGAAGTTGCTCGGCGGCTTGACGTCGGCGAACATTTGCGTGCTCATCTGACCTGGCGTGACGAGGATGGTTTTGATTTCCGCGGCGGCGGGGATCTGGGCGAGTTCAGCGCGCAGGGAGTGATGTAGCGCGAGGAGCGCGGCTTTGGAGGCGGTGTAGGCGGAGAGATTGGCGGCGCCAAGGTGGCCTAGGACGGAGGAGACGGTGACGATTGTGCCGCGGCCTTCGCGGAGCATGTGTGGGAGGAAGGTCTTGAGGGTGACGAAGTGGGAGAGGGTGTTGACGCGGAAGGTTCTGGGGATTGCGTTAGTTTAGTGTGGTATGTGTGGGGGTAGAGGACGCACTGTTCGACTTCTTCGGTGGTGGTGTCGAGGATGGACTTCTTGTGGACGATGCCGGCGTTGTTGATGAGGATTGTTGGAGGGCCGAGCTGGATGGATTAGTATAGTTCGCGAGGTGGTATGTAGCGACTCACATCCTCTACAATCTTGGCTGCTGCAGCCTCAATCTGCTTTGGGTCGCTGACATCGCACTGGTAGTATACCACGCCCTTCTCCTCTGCCTCGTCCTCATCCACCTTCTTGACGTCCAACACGGCAACATTGGCGTTGCGCATGCCGTAGGTCTCGGCCAGAAGGCCACCCAGTCCCTCAACACCACCAGTGATGACGATGACCTCTTCAGCCAAGTCTACTTCGCGCGGCGCGCCAAATGCGATGCGCTCGCTGATGATGTTGAATATGCCGATTGCGCTCATGAGAAAAGACCAGGCTACCGCGATGAGCATCTCAGGTGCGCCGTATGCTGTGTATTGCGCGCGCAAGCATAGGACTACCACCCATGACACGAATGGGTGGAAGACTGTGTATCCAAGGACATACCAGATGAGATCAATGGATATGTGGCGTTGCCATGGCTCATCTGGGCGGTCATGTTGCTTGGGAAGCTGCACAGTGACTTCTTTCATGTTGTAGGACCTCCAGGGCTTTTCGGCGCAGTTGGATGAAGAGTGTTGGATCATACTGATGGTGGGGCGCAACGGCGCGTAGTAGTCTTGACGTATCTGGAATTCGACGCGACAGTTATTCTTTAGCCAGGATGTAAATGATGGAGAAGCAGAATCTTGATATTGGACGCGAGAATCATATTCGGGGCCATGGAGTTCTTAATCTTCTGCTACTGAAAGCTGAGGTTTGCTACGTTTCATTGCCGCCTCAGGTGTCGAGCAGTTGAGTCCACTTTGCAGGGGTCTACTGCCTTACTAAGCGAACATGTCCGACTCCAAGAGCGTCTGCGAAACTTCCCCACCAGTTTGCACGACATGATCAAAGAAGCTCTCTTTCACCGTGTCAAGGGCAGATTTGCTGGATCCGTTGTAGGAATCCTCCTGCTCATCAACATCTAGTATTCGATGCGGTTAGCAATAGCCACCATGTTTTTTACAAGACACGATGAATGGCTTGAAGTACGCGAACATGTTCTACCCCGTCTTCGCAGAACACTGCGAGTCACTCAATCGTCTCAAGGAGTACTGCGAGAGACTTGAGTTTTCCCAAATCTGCACCGTGTAGTCCACCTGGACGGGTGGTGAAGCAAAGGTCACGTGGTAATCGGCGGTCGGCGATAGCAGGTGGACCTAACCGCGGCTGGACATGTGCCCTGCGCAAGTGACGATTTGCCGACTGTTCGGAGCCAATTCACCTCGCAGACCCTCCCACGACCCACCGTGTATTCAGTGCCAGACCTTGTCCATGCTTTAGAGACTAGCGCACGAGCAGGGACGTCTGTCTTGTCTCCAACTGTATTTACCAATCCTGATTCCCAGAGCTCCACCCGGCAAGCTCCCTCTCCATCCTGCGTGCTCCTGGTCGACCTAGACACACGCCATTCTCACACGTCCCGGCCACAACCTTCACCATGGTGCGAAACGGGAGCCCTTCGCCGGCGGACAACTTCCCGCTCGGCCATTCAGCGACGTCACCGCAGCCGCAGCCCTCGAAGCGCGACAAGAGGCGCAACATGCTGGCCGAGAAGCTGGGAGAGATGATGGCGTCCTTCTCCGACAACAGAGACAGCCACTACAGGGCCCAGCTTGCAGCGCTGACGGCTGATATCAACCTCATCATGAAGGCCGACCCGTACGCAAATGCGCCGCTCGACGATGGCGGAGACGAAGCGTCGGACCTCATCTCGCAGATTATGGGCAACAATGTCCCTACGGCACCCAGCGCGGGCACCGACTACATTGCGCAGTGCGGCAAGCACTATGCGCGCTTCGTGGACGCGGTCAACGACGCCATGGAGGAACGCGACTACAATCTCACGATGCTCCATGTACGCTGCGCAGCTCCTGATCTCGTCTATTAGTCTAACTTTGCCAGAACAAGCACGAGAACACGAAGAACGAGATTGAGAACTCGCACTACTACAAGGTCCAAATCGCCGAGGAGGAGCACAAGCTGCTTGCTGCCACGATCCGCGAGCGCCTCATTGCGAGCATACAACAGCGCACCGGTCGACTCAAGCGCGAAAAGGAGCAGCTAGACCTCTCCGACAGCAACGCCATGCTCCTCCACCCGAACCAGTTTGGCATTGGCAACCCCGCCAGCCCCGGCGGGCCCCAAGCGCCCCGCAAGACCCGAAGGACTGGGCACAAGTTTGGAGAGGCCGAAGATCTTGCTGCAGCAAACGAGAGCAAGCGCAAGCGCAAGTTGTTTGAAGAAGCCGACAACGACTCGCCAGGTCCCGCAGGCCGCAACGTCGAGATTGGCATGGGCTCGCCATTCCGCGACGCCAAGGCGCGCACCATGAATGCGCAATTCGAATCCTCTGCATACTCGCTAGAGCGCCTCTTCACCGAGAAGGAGCTGAACATGGCCATGAACCAGGCGACGACGGCCGCCTCGCACTTCTTCGCCAAGATGAAGCAGGCAGACAACGGTGCGCAAAACGAAGCCACCACATACGGCCACACGACCAACGGCAATGGCACCAATGGCGACCACGCTTCCGAGAACGGCGACGTGATGGACCAAGATCAAGACTCGGACGACATCCCCGGCGCAGCCGACATGACGCGCCAAATCTCCTCCAACCCACACGCGACCCGTGGCGCCACCCGCTCCGCCTTCAATCCCTCTGCCGCCGCCATCGCCAACGGCCATATGCCCTTTATCTACAACCCGCCCTTCGTCCTCGACGCCAAAATCTTCCAGAAGCCCAATGCCGCAGCGCCCACTCCGCCCGCTCTGTCTGCCTCGGACATTGACCAGGATCTCAAGCTCATGCTGCGCGACGCCCCGCTCGACGACGAACTCAACGAGAAGCTGCTGCAGGCCGCATGCCACCCGATCAAGGCGCGAGACTACCAGGTTCAACCGCCAGGCTTCCAGGAGCCCGTCAACGAGATTACGAGCCAGGTTAGGAACACGGCGCCGGGCCTGGAAGTCGGATTGATGAATGGCATGGGCGGTGTGCCGATGAGTGCGCAGAGCAGTCAGTGGAGCGATGCTGGTGGCAACACGCCGCTTGGGGCTGCTGAGCGTCCAGTGCCCATGGCGAGGACGGCGAGTGGGAGGGGACGGGGAAGAGGGAGGGGTTAGACGGATACCTTGAAGAAGGGTTGACGTCTCTTTTCCTTGTCCCATGTTCGCTCGGCGGGCGCTTCGTTATATACCCACGGCGTTTGGGCGGTTGTGCATGTGCAGTACAGGAGCATAGAGTGTTGTCATCACATCACGATTGTCACGGATCACGAATCCTCTCTGCATTGTTGTTTTCCGAATCGGAGTTTTGTCGGGTCATTCATAGACATATCGCATATCAACAGGCTCGGCACTGAAAACAGAGCATCGAGAGAATCAACACTACTTCATTTTCCCCATTGCATTACTACTCTCTTACTACAACTTTCTCTCTTCTCCTCCATTGAACACTCCCATCCATCCATCCCATCCCATCCCACACCACACCTAAGCACAAATCTCCAGCACCAAATCCAACTCGCCGGCATAATGCGCAATCTTAACCGGCCCCGGCGCTCCATCCCACTCGATCCTCTCCGCGCCCTCCTTATTCCCCTCGAGCGTAATCTTCTCTCCCCCAAAGTCAAACCCGTTAATCGTGCTGATATCATACCACGTCGCGCCGTCCTTGACCGTGTACCCGAAGTTGAGAACAGGCTTGCCGGTCCACAGGCCGTCGGGCGTCTTGGTGATTTTCAGCGCGGTGCCCGTTTTGCCGTCGAACCATTGGGGCTGCATGATGTATCCGCCGGGGCCGATGATTTGGGCGGCGGTGGGTCCGGTGGAGTCGACGGGGAAGTAGTAGATTGGGAAGGAGCAGTTGTTGGAGACGCTGGTCTCGGAGGCGGCGAAGGTGGTAGTGGCGGCGAGGAAGAGGGTTTGGAGAAGGGTGGTGGAGCGCATGATGGCGGTGGTTGGAGCTGTGAGGCTGATGGAGGGAAGTTGGGAGTGGTTGTGTGAAGATAGCTTGAGATGTTCAAGCTGATGATGACGGAGCGGCTGATGTTGGAGCTGCTGAGGAGGAATGTAGGGGGCGATGAAGGCGGCGTCTTATACCTATGGCCATGTCTTGGACAGCGAATTTGCATTACGCGTGTAAGTTTGCTTCATGTCGAAGCTAGAAAATATTGAAATGCATAGCCCCATGGCACAGCTGCAGGTTTTTTCTGGTCATGTGCCAATCGTAAAGAGGAGCCAAGTGATGAAACGATGCAATTGGTCGTGTACCTGCCTTGTTCAAGTGAGGAGGGTGAGTCTGTCATGACGATAGCTTCCAGTGTGGCAAAAGCAAGGTCCGGAAAGGGGTAGCCAAGTCGTACTGCAAGGTACAGAGCAATAACCCCGCGACATGGTCGCATTGATGCAGGTACAAGCTGATTGTGATACCCGTCTTATAGGTATTGAGGAAACGCTTGTGGCGAATAGCGATTGAGGAAAATTGATTCGAAAAGCATCAAAAGATTGGTGCGAATTTCTGATCACATGAGTTGCATGTATCGGTAACTTGGAATTTGCGGTCGTCGGTGTTTGATGTCGTGGTGTCCGGATTCTCATCACAAGGTGATATCCACGGCGCGATCGTAAACCTGTCAACTGTCCGAAGCGGGTGACAGTGTGGATTGCGTCGCAGTAGTCACCTCACCTGACAACCGGTAGCAACAGAATCCGGGAGACGCTTGATGGGAAGTGTTTGTGACACTTGTAGTACTGTCTGACTCCATGTGCAAGGTAGAGCAGAGGGCGTGGCCGCCTCAGCCTATTTCGGCAGCCGCTAAAAGAGGGCATGAAGCGAGGAATAGAGGCGCGTCACGGAACAGGCGGAAGACAGCAGCAAGGAGTCTGTGGCCAGCCTGTGCGTCGCAGGTATTGAAGGCATAGAGTGTTGATGCTAGTGTAATGTGGAAGACCAGTCGACAGCCAGAAGGGTGACCGGCGGACACGACTGCACTGGTGTCACATGACTTGCACTCGCGGAAGTCACGATGCATGCTGCATGCGTCATTCGGTCTCTCCACCCAGGCGATTATGTCAAGTTAGTTTTCTTCCAAACGAAAAAAACGTGCAGAACCATATCTTTGTGCGTCTCCCTACTTCAAAACGATGACTTTCGATGGCAATAACATCAAATTTTACTCGTTATGGTCATCTTCCCTCTTTTCTTCATGTCGGCTGCATTATTATCGTTTGCAAAAGATGTGCACCCCCCCTCAGACTCACTGAATAGAGCGTAGAGACACCTCCGTATACTCCTATTAGCTTAGATCTTCGTGATAGTCTAAGAGGGTCTAGATAGCCGTTAATAGGTGTCACTTTTAGAGCGAACTAGATAATTCTAACCTCTAAAATTGCTGCCCGCAATATAATATCATCAAGTACATCGTCGCTCTCCTGTTACATCATTATTTATCATAGACTTTTGTCATTATAGAAGTTCTAGGGGGGTGCACATCTGTTGCAAGGCACCGATAAGAAAAGCTCTGCGCAAGCCGTGCTCTAAAATTCAAGAGCTTCTATTGCATGTGTGCCAGTGTCTTCTTATCTGGCGTCAATGACGAAAACAACAACTTGTGGCGGGTACGTCCTGCGAATAAATTGTGTTTATTCACACTCATAGGAATCATACGAAAGGGTGTTCCGGTGCTCTTCACGCACGGTACAGGCAATGTATATATACACCCCGCCCTCTACTCGACACCTTCTACATCTGCATAAAGCAATCAACCATAACGTCAAGTTAAATCAACGCAAGTGTGTTTACATGTCCTCCGCCCGAAGTTTCAAAGTGCATCAAGAAACACGACATATTTGCTCGAAATCGCACACATGCAGTCACTATGTTCCCATATCCGTTTCTTTCTGACCTTCGAATCAGCTCAGAGCGCTATCATGACTACTATGCTTTCAGTACTAAACAGGTAGGTAACACAGATGCCACCAGCTGCATGAATCATCACTTCAATATCACCATTACACAATGAGCCCATATCCATGCCGAGTATGTTTCATTCTCGTCTACTCTATCTAGAAAGCCTCTTGGGTCCCAATATCCTAATCAGAAATGTAACCTGTATATCTCCGCGGTACAACTTTGCGCACAGTCTTGGGATCCCCTTCGGACGCATTCCCTCCATGCGGGAAACAACATCCTTTGAATTCCAAGACTATGATGCGTTTGAATCCTCCGGGTTTGTAGCAATGGCCGTTGCGAAACTGGCTGCAGTACTTCTTGGGGCCGTATGCCTCAAGGCAGCGGCAGCCTTTGTAGCGGGTGTATGTCCTGGTGCACATTGCTGAGTGCGAAGGCTGTAGATTTTGCTGATTGGGAGTAAGTGTTTGGGCGCTGGTGTCGTATCCGTGCAGAGTTTGTTGGTATAGTTGTTGCTGTTGTTTGGTATATATATATGAGATAACTGATGGATCTTGTTGTTACTGCTTTCAAGTGTGATTTGGCTAGTTGAACGCTGTAATTGTACAAGGAGATGAAGTGGCTGGAATGTGTTGTTCATACGTGCAGCCTAGAGAGCTTATGTCGACGATGATATTCACGTAAAGCTCTGTCTTTGAAGGTGTGAATTGAATACCACATTGCATTGTTGAACCTCACGACGAGCATTCATAATATCGCTCTGTCACTTTGGCATGTAACGCTGCACATTGAAGGTATTACTTGGTGAAGATGCAAACAAAAGCTCACTTCGCGAAGATAGTTACGATCACTGAAGAGTACAGAATAATGGAGAGATGTGTTGCAGAAGATTTCTTGCAGGCTACCGAGAAGACTCCAGTTACAAATAGCTTGAGACAGGAGTTCTATCGAAGTGGCCATGTCCAATGTATCGAGGGTTTTCAGCAAAAAGTAGTCAAGTCAACCTGATCGCTTGTGCATGGAGCCCAACAATGCACGACAACATTATCATGCTTTGTTCTTCTTCCAGATCCCAAAATCACTAGAATCTTCAATGAGAGTACTAGGCCAAATCTATCCAAACTCGAACATTCTGGCTTCTGACTTTGCTGCGGCACTCGTGCACCCCCTAACAAACGGGCATATATACCTATTCATCACCATCCTCATTTAAAATATGGCTTGTACTGGATCTATTTTTAATCGTACCAAAATGCACAGTCAATGTAGTCTATCATATCCAAGCCACATCACCTACACTCTCATGCAACCACATCATTCGCCTCCTTCTCCTTCCGCTGCTCATCCTTCTGTCCCATCTTCTCAGCGTTCTTATAAACCCCCTCCAACACCATCTTAATCTCAGCCAAAAATCTCGTAACCTCCTTCTCCGTGCCCACCGTTATTCTCAGGCATCCCAAACACCCATGCTCCTTTCCTCTAAACCGTACCACAACGCCCTTCTCCTCCGCCAAACCCTCATAGACAGCCAACGCGACCTCATTCGACGGTCTCTCCCACCAGGACCATCGAGCATCTGGTACAGCAAGAAATTCGACTCGGTGCCGCCGTGCAATTTGCCGATGCCAGGAATCTTCGGTAACTCCGCGAGTAAGCGTTCTCTCTGCTTGACAATCAACTCGACGTTCTTCTTCATGACGCCCAGGTGTTCCGGGCTCAGCGCTGCGCGCGCAAGCTGACTCGTCGGATTTGAAATGTTGTATGGCGCCTTCATGTTATTGAGGATGCGCGCGATAGCTGGGTCTGCAAATGCTGCACCTAGCCGGATACCCAGCAAGTCCAAACGCTTTGGAGAGTGTCTGCATAACGACAAGGTTCGGCCACTCGGTGACCCATTCTGCTAGACTGGCGCCCTCGGGCGCAAAGTCGATGTATGCCTCGTCCACCACCACGACGCCGTTCCAGCTCGGGTGTTCGAGAACCTGCTGTATGTCTGATTTCTTGAGCACTTTGCCTGTTGGATTTCCTGGCGAGCAGAGGTATGCGAGCTTGATGTTTGAATCTGCAGATAATGCGTCTAGGATGGCGGGTATGTCGAGATCGAAGCTTGGGACTTGTAGTGGGATCTTGACGAGCGATATATCGTTGACTTGGGCGGATACGCTGTACATGCCATATGTGGGTGGGCAGACGAGGATCTTTTCGCGGCCGGGGACGCAAAAAGCGCGGATGAGAGCGTCAATGGCTTCGTCAGAGCCGACGCCGACGAAAAGGTGGTCGGGAGTGATGGCCTTTGATGTGTGGTGGTGGGTGTTGCGGAGGCTACATAGCTGTTGTTTGAGGTCTAGCTGGTGGCTGTCATTTGTCGTTAACATCCTTCCATGCTAAGTAGGTAGAGTTGTTCGTACGGGTCTGGGTAGCGGTTCAGTCCGAGCAGGTCAACATCTATTGAAGACGCTGAATCAGTCACGCCAGATAGTTTGCCGTCGCCACTTATTGCTAGTCCAGGGCCGTAAGCGTTCTCGTTGGCGTCGAGCAAGATGTTCGTGCCATCGTCCTTATAGTCACTTTACGCGTTTAGCTTGGTACTGCGAGAAGATTCAAGCGCTTCACCTACTCGCGCGCGCAGCGGTACGGCTCCAATGCCAGAATGTTGGCTCGCGCGCACGTCTGCAGATCGAATGGTGACTTTCTGGGGGCCATTGTGAGGCTGGTGTGGTTGAATGTTAAGTGTGATTGTGGCTATGACAACATCTTCTCGACGCGGGGACTTTTATTTGGTGGGGCAGTCGCGTCGGCCATCTCGGTGGAGTCACCATCTCAAGAAATCAACCATGTTTTGAACAAGTAGAACTACGCAATAGATTTGTAACTCTGAGAGTTGCTCGTTGATACTCTCTTGTCATTTATGACAAATGTGTCTTTCAGAGAGATGTATAGGGTCGGACGCGCGATATTACCCAGTGACATTTTCATCGAAAGGGATAATGCGCCATAACACAACGCTGATGGAAACGTTCAAGCGGAAGTTGAATTAAGTCCTTAGCCCACTGTCGATTGATCGGTCCAGATCCGGCCTGATTCTTTTGGTCCACTCCCGTTAAATCGTTCACTGCCCCACCCTCGTGCAGATTTCATCCACCACCCGTTCTTCGCACCACCACAATCGCCTGCGATCCATTACTTTGCATGGTGAATTAGTCTACTACCTTTAAATTGCTGCGGATATGTTTTAGCTAAATTGCATTATTTCCATCAAAACATCCTCTTCCGATATGGTCTAGTGGCTAGGATTTGCCGCTCTCAACAGAGTAGGTCGCTCACAGCGCCGGCAAGGCCCGGGTTCGATTCCCGGTGTCGGAAATATCATTTTTGCATCGATTCTAGGCTTGGGAAAGGGCGGTGTTGAGAAAGGAGGATTGTGAAGGGCGTGGGCGAAGATTTTTGCTTAGCGAGATGAGCAGTTCCCAGACAAAGGATTGATCGGAGAGTTATTTTAATATGATATTCAGAGAGAAACACCATTCTGTGCTTGTCAGATGTCGTTTGAGTATTAAGTTTTGAAGTGGAAGTGGAAAGTAGTAATATAGTTCTACGTTCAAGCCTTCCATCCTCAAAAAGTCAGCAATCCCACGTAGAACAAATATAGTTTTTACATTTGCTTGTATATAAACCCTGCGCTATTAAGGGTATGATGCCTAGTAATTGGCCAATGAGCAGAAGGCTTCTTGTTGGGCCAAATCACTAAGGACTCTAGAATCAGACGCGCACGTGATCAACGAGGAGCTAGGCCATTGACGAGGAGCCAGGCCATCAACGAGGAGACTTGCTTCAACGAGGAGATATGTTTTCAACAGCCTAGTGATTAGCTAATAAGCAGAAGGCTTCTGGTTGTGCTAAATTACTAAGGACTCTAGAGTAATAGGGAATCAGACGTGCACGTAATTAACGAGGACCTAGGCTATTAACGAGGAGCTAGGCTATTAACGAGGAGCTAGGCTATTAACGAGGAGCTAGGCTATTAACGAGGAGACTTGCTTTAATAAGGAGACTTGCTTTAACGAGGATACGTGCTTTAATAAGGAGATAGGTTTTTAACAGGCTAGAGGCTTAAACGGGCTAGGGCTGTAAATAGATCCTTATAACTCCTTACATAACGCGCTTAGGCTACCTTATTAATAGCAAGGAATATTAAAACTACAGGCATAGACGAAAAACGTTATCTTTGCATAGCGACAGCGAGAGCTACAGAGCATATTTTTCCTCTAGAGTTAGATATTCTAGTAGGGGCGAATTAGACAGTCCGTTCAGGATAGATACTAGCCCTTCAGGACTGCTGCGCAGTGAGACCGACATTCTAAACTATATAGTAGATTCACTTCAACAATTTCAGATCGAAGGTTTCACATTCATAGGTGCGTGTGCCAGAACGTCAGCCAGGCTTATGAACAGCTAATCACAAAATAAATTTCGCTCCAAATCGTATAGACTTAGTACTCAAAAAGAAATGTATCAGTTCATATATGTCGGTATCTTAAACATCAATCAAGCCAACGCGCCCATAGGATCCCAAAGCTCCAGCATCTTCGGCTTCTGCTCAAGGACCTTCTTAACCGCCGAGCTAACAACGCTCGGGTCAACAACAGCCTGGTATACAAACTCATCCATCCAAGCATCAGACATGACAAAATAGCCCTTGTCACCAACACGGTCACTCCACGAATTCTCTACCCTCCACCTCACCGGCTTACCGTCAACGACATGCACCGCCGTAAGCACCATAGCATGTGTCATTTGAGACTCGCCCGTCTGCAAGCGCTCGGCCTTTGACATGCCGAGCTTGATGTTGAAGCCGAGTTCGTACTCGTACAGGGCGGTGTCCATGATGCCCTTTGTTGAGTCGGAGTACTTGCCTACATCTGAACCGAAGAAGACGGGAATGCCGCGCTTCAACATGGCGATGCAGGCTTCCTTGATGGTCTTCATGTCCACGTTGACGTATGTTACTGGGCGTCCGCCGTACACGTTTCCGAGACGCTTCACGCTAAGCAGCCTGTTGTATGGGTTACGAGGGTCGTTGACCAGGGAGAATAGCTGGTGGACGTCAGTCCCTCCAAGTGCTCGTACAGTCCTGCTGTCCGAGAGCTCTTTGGCGAATGCTGTGGGTCGAGTACGAAGAGTGCAAAGGTTGTTGTCTTTGTCATAGTACTCCCATGTGAATGCCGCGTTTGGTGGTGGCGGGGGTCCTAACATCAACGTCAAGATGAGATGGATTTCCTTGAGCATCTTCTCCTTCTCGTTCGAGATGGTAGCCTTCTTGACCTCTACAGATGCATTACTAGTAGCAATCGATCGGAGGCGGACGGCGTCCTCTCGGAGCTTTGTGGTGATTAGTCGATCCATGGTCGAGGAGCTTGAGGCGTTGAACGAGTCGGGGTACAGCGAGTGGGGTACAAGGCCGTACTTGGCTATAAGGTTCACGACCATGTCTGGAGTCAAAGTCAACACACAACTCCCAATCATGTATAGAAAGGCATACCCCATTGTCCACCATCACTGACTGGGCTTTCCATGAGTGCCTGTGTAAGCCGGCTATCAATCTCTTCAGATGTGGTGTCGAGTATGCTCTCCAAGAAGTAGTTTGCCTTCTCAATCTTGTCCCAATAGAACAGATAAGCCTGCGACAGCTGGAACTCTGAAAGCTTGTACTTCTTCATAATGGCAACGCGAAAGACGTTTGTCGATGCGAACAGCCAGCATCTTCCAGATTGTGCTTGATTTGTGATGGGTGAGCCTTCAAGTGGTATCTTGATGTTGAATTTCTGTGTATCGGAGATGACGGCTGATCGTGAGGAGAGGACGGCGTTGGCGTTGTTCGAGCTGAGAGCTGCTAGAGCAAGACGGTTCTACAGAAATGAGCTCTTGTATGTTGGCTAGTTTCATCAGACTGTCCTACCTTTGGGTCTTCCATGAGCTCCTTCTCCCACTCCTCCACAGCCGCGGCAGATACATTTTGTTGATACCTGGTGATCGGAGTGTACTTTGGAGCTTCAGAGGGATTAGATCATTTGACTTAGCTGCAGACTTCACAATACCTACGAGCTTCACCACCAACGACTACAAAACCATCCTTCTCGCTGGTGCTTCGTTGCTCGTCCTTGATGTGGAGAGCTTGCAGCCGCTCGATCAGCTTCTCGTTGATGGCAGCATCTGATGGCCGAGACTGGTTGGCACCCATGTTGGCAAGTTTGATGTAGCTTGGATCTTTAGAATGCTTCAACTACGTATGTAGTAGATGCGGAGATGATAGAGTCAGAGGGGCAGGTGTTGGCCAACATGGTGTCGAAGCTTATCGCGCTGCTTATCGCCGTATCGCCGAGGCTAAGTCGCGTGCAAGCGTCTCGTGCCAGCCCACTTCATCAGATGGCTGGAGTTTGCTCTGTTTGCAGGACAGTTGCTAACCTGCTTCGGCTTCATCATCGGCCGGAATATTATTATTACACTCGAACTTGCGTTTCAGCCACGCGACCACGGTGGCCCGCTTTTTAGATCGGGCGTGCCTCCACATTTCCAACGGCTGGTGGATGCTTTGAAGACGCACCCTTGCTCGCGCAAGACAGCGGTGTTCCAGCTGTTACTGTCACACCACCGCCTGGCATTCCAGGCATTCACAGGGAAACGACTGCACAAGTGAACGACTCACCACAAATGACGTACATTGGCCGTGACACAGCTGTGTTGAAATTGGGGAGATGAAGATGCGCAGGGCTACGCGTGTTTCATCCGCACTCACAGTTCACCCCTGAATCAAGGGTGTACAGCCACACGGCAACGTTCAAATAACTTTAGTATCCTCAACATCTGTACTCCGATGCCCCTCTATTCAATCTATAACCTACCTCGACTCCATTGAACCTGGACATCACACTAGGCGCACACGCACAATCTCAATCGCTGCACATATTCACACCATGGCGGCCACTCAACAACCAGTACTGTGGAAGAAGCGAATCCTCGTACCCTTCTGGATTGTCCGCATATGCCTCATGTTATTCATCATCGCTGCATACTCGTGGACATTGCGACATCTCAATGAGATCAAGGATGTCATCAAACCGGCAGTCGCGTAAGTTGACAGACGCGGTCAACATCAAGCGGAAACTAACAAATCCAGATCGGTTGTCGTATTCATGCTCTTCATTGTCATAGTACTATTGATCGATGTGCTTGCGATCGTCCTCTTCCTCCGAGATGCGCTGAAGCCAGCGACCTTCCTCACCATGAACTGCTTCCAAACAGGCTTCTGGGGCGGCGTCTTGATCCTAGACCTTGTATCTGTGGCCAGAGGCGCGAGCTCTGTTGCGATTGGTTTCAGCGTCTTCGTCTTGTGAGACTACCCGTTCCACTGCTGTTTTCATAGGTTCTAACGTCAAACAGTACTACCTTTGTTGGCCTCCTCATCTACGCCGCAGTCGGATACTCACGAGCGAAGAAAGCCGCGCAGCGCGGCATGTATGCGCCAGCGCATAACCCAGCTGTCCACCCCGCGCCCTACGGTCAACCACCGCAGTACCAGAGTGGTGCATCGCCTTACCAGCAAAATACCGAATACCACTCGCAGACTGCACCTGTCGAGCTACATGACCAATACCTTCCGCCATATCAGGGCGGTGCCGCTACAGATTACTACCACCAACAGCCCGCAAAGCCTGCGCATCTGGTGTGAGGCATGGAGAAATAACAGAGCATGCCGAAGGACATCTCCAACAAACAAAAGTCGTTGAGAGAAGCTACAAGGCTGGTAAGCAAAATTGGCTACGAGCTGGAACAAACCAATACGATAATTGGGGCTCCTGGGCTAGCCACCGTGGTAAAGGAAGCTACTTGCATATTACCGCAATGGTGCGTGGGCAGATCGCATGAAGTCTCGACCACCACCTGGCACCCTATTGAGAGAGCCGAGAATGGCCCAACGCCATGATGTCAGCGATGCTATTAGCCGTTGGAACACTCAGTAAACTTCATTAAGTAGCTCAGCCATCGTGCATCAAATATCTCACAATCTCCGTGCTTTTAAAATACCTACTGTGTTTTCCGATTATGTATGTCAAGCATTGCGCATGACGGGAGAAGAGTCGGATCAAGGATCTAGGATTCACATCCGCAAAACAGGGTGTTTCCATTTTTGGATCCGAGCGCATTGAATGGCCGTAACATCGAATACCATCCGTCGCCGTGGCACTTCTGCCGTAGCTTACAGTCGGAACTCGATCTTTGTAGGAAGGTGATGTGAACTCTATAGCTCGATTTCTCCCGGGTAGATGCATGTCGCGCAATATCGACATTCCAACGTCTTTCACATGCTCGACGCCCCAGTGAATGACGGACCTCGAAAATCACACGTGTGTTTGATGCATCGGACACGCCTACCAAATGGGTCGCCCCTGCCGAGACGCTCGGTTGCGCCATGCTGGCCCATGTCGCCGCCCCGGACATCGACAACCACTCACAGCTGTAAAGCCGCTTCTTACAGCCACTTCAATCTATGCAATGTTCAATGGGAGACTGCGGATCTGCACGTTTCGGAGGCTCGGTTGCTTGTATGGTGGAGCCGCTTCTATTGGCGACTGCAAGCCACCCAGCAGATTGGGTGGACTATCAGGTGTTGGTTATGCGATGTCACTCGGCCGCATTGGACTTTTGGGTATAAAAACGGAGATCCTCTGGTATTATTGGGATTGTAAGTAGGCTTCAAGATCATCTTCGTTGCTTCTTCAGTAGTTTCTACATACGGTGTCATTCGTTCCTGCATCTACTCGATTCATTCACTCTATCAAGATGCGGTCTTCTATTCTTCTTGCTGCCGCCGCTGCGGCTCCTCTCGCTCAAGGCATCCGCATCGTCCAGTCCAACGATGATGGTTGGTCAGAGATCAACCTGAGGACTTTCTTCGATGTTCTGAACACAGCTGGTCACCAAGTCGTACTTTCAGGCCCTGCAGAGAACCAATCGGGAACTGGTACGTGATCATGCTACATCTCTTGAGCACTCACTAACGGAGACCTGCAGGATCGAATGACGCCAACCCAACGACCGTCGATGCTGATGGCTGCATTCACGCCTCGTGCCCTGGTGGAAGCCCAGCCGTTGGTGCCAATGCTACTGACCCTCGTTTGAACTACGTCAACTCGTTCCCCGTAAGTACTGGCAAGACATTGGCACACCATAGGAAATTCTGTTAACATTAATACCCAGGTAACTTCCATCAAGTACGGTATCAACCAAGTTGCACCCAAGCTCTGGAACGGAGCCAAACCCGAGCTTGCCCTTACCGGACCCAACGTCGGCGGCAACGTCGCGATTCAGTCGCCCTTCTCCGGAACTATTGGAGCCGCTACCTACGCTGCGAAGACTGAGAAGATCCCTGCTATTGCGTTTTCCGGCCAGACTGGCGACCCAACCGCATGGAACGCACCCACTCCTCTGCACAGCAAAGTCTACGCTGACCTCGCACTGAACGTTACCACCGCCATCATTAACAGTGGAAAGCCCTACCTGCCCGACAACACCTTCCTCAACGTCAACTTCCCCAAGGTTGAGGACGGCAGGTGCAGCAACCCCAGCCAGTTCAAGTACATTCTCACACGCATCAACACTGGTGTCTTCAGTACCAAGGACGCGGACTGGTGCGGCAGCACGCGTCTGCCGTGGGAGGCGGATGTTATCTTGCTCAGAGGAAAGGACTGCTATGTTACCATCAGCCCGGGAGATGCAAACGATAAGACGACGGTCAATGATGCGGCAGTTCAGCAGCAGATTATTGAGAAGTTGAAGCCGATTCTGTCGTGTCTTCCGTAGATGAGCATCGCAGGTAAATAGGATTTTTACGACAATTGTATAAGACATGATCCTGTTCAAGTTCTGTTCCAAGATCACAATTTAAGAGGAAACATCACAAGACATGTCGTTGCAGTCAAGTATAGGCACAATTCACACGTGGTGGTCTGTGCACCGCAAGTGAACGGATAATGACGGCATCGCTTTGATCTCAACTCATCAGACCCATCTCATCAACAATAAGTCCCAATTCGCACAATGGATGACTATGAGTTGGACCGCATTGCATCTGATAACCCAGCGCTGACAGCACCTGCATTGGAGCGCACGCCATTGAGTCGACGTAAATCCTATGTCAAGAAGCAGGCTAGCAATAGATCCGATAACTCTCAAACTACGGTGTCGAATGCGGAGTTGACAAAGTACGATGTATGTGTTCCAGCGAACAGTTCTTGCACATAAGTTGACAGTGTTGTCCAGGTTGGCTGGCGTAGAATAGTACGCAACTTCTCGCCATCCTGGTTCAGCGTCACCATGGGCACCGGTATCGTATCCTTACTCCTTGCCGCAATACCGTTCAAAGCAGATTGGCTGTATTGGCTAGCGGTAGCATTTCTCGGTCTCAACACTGTTCTCTTCGCCTGCGCCTTCTGCGTGTCCGTCTTCAGATACACCGTCTACCCGGAGATCTGGACCGTTATGATCGCCGACAGCGTAAACTCGCTCTTCCTTGGAACGATACCAATGGGTTTTGCTACCCTGATCTCCGCCTGGTGCACGCTGTGCATTCCGTATTGGGGTCCGTGGGCAGTCACGTGTGCGTGGGTGTGCTGGATGATTGACTCGGTTGTTGCTGTGGCAGTGACCATCTCACTCACTGTCTTGCTGATATCCGCGTCTCATCGACAAGCTTTGGACCGGATTACTGCTGCCCAATTGCTTCCCATTGCTGCGTCTATCGTCGCTGCTGGAACAGGCGCTAGAGTTGCTGAACATCTACCGGATCCGGAGAATGCGCTTGGTACGATTATCGCATCCTACATCATGTGGGGGATGGCAACACCGCTGGCTATGACTGTGCTTGTTATGTACTACACACGTCTCGCTCTCCACAAACTACCGCCTCGGGAAATCGTCGTTTCATCCTTTCTACCGCTTGGTCCGCTCGGCATGGGCGGCTATTCAATCACATACCTAGGCCATGTGAGCCGCAAAGTCTTTCCAGTAACACAATTCTTCTCAGAAATGCCCGTAGCCGGCGATATCTTCTTCGTCAACGGCGTCTTCATCGCCCTCATCATGTGGGCATTCGGCCTAACATGGCTCTGCTTCGCGCTCGCATCGATCTACAAATCCCGACCATTCCCATTTAACATGGGCTGGTGGGGATTCACCTTCCCACTCGGCGTCATGGCGCTTTCGACAATGGAATTTGGCAAAATATTCCCGAGCCTGTTCTTCAAGGTTCTGGGCACGATTTTCGCGATTGCTGTCATACTGCTGTGGTGTGTCGTCGCCGCGGGGACTGCGAGAGGGGCTTGGAGGGGGCATTTGTTTAATGCGCCGTGCTTGAAGAATTTGCCAAAGAAAGAGGATAATGAGGGGCCGGATGTGGCTGAGCAGGAGAAGGCTTTGCAACCGACTTGAGGACTATGCGTTATGCCTTCAACACGTGAATGTTTTGTTTCGAAAAAAACGCTGCGCCACGCCTTTAACCGCAGCCCCAACAAACAACGGAACGTCAAAAAATTGAACTTCTGGAGCCCACAGAGATGTATTGAATTTTTAAGGTTACCTCACGAGAATCGAGAAGGCAGGTACCGAGACCAGGATGCTCAAGACCCGATCAAAGTTACTCGCAGCGCGGAATGCCCGCAAGTCTTTAGTGGCCAGATATTCTTTTTGAGGCGTAGCAGATTGCACGCGTCGCACGCATTGCATGAAATGATCTAAGAAAGGCTGAATTGCTTTGGAACCAAGGTGTTCAGCACCTTTGTACTGTGCAAGGAATATATGCAAGGACGGCACAGCACACATCCCAAAGAGTCGCTTCCTGCAACAAACTAGGTTAGAATTGCCACCTCAGAATAACCATTGAGCCGCAACGGAACTCTACAATCAACTTCGTCACCTTCGCTGTTCACAACCTTCTTTTGTCTAAACGATTTCCAGCAAGATGCGCGGTCTTGCTGTGATGACAGTTGGGCTTTGCGCATCTAATCTCTCGGTAGCTGCGACGGTCAAGTCTTTTGAAAGTTTTGAAACCAGAAATGGATGCATTACCGGCCATCGCTCAGTGAAAGTCAAAGACGTGTGGGAGTATTTGGGTATACCATATGCAAGCCTGCCACTTGGAGATCTGCGCTTTGCAGCACCACAAAGGTACGAGCGAAAAGGCTCGCACAACGCAAGTTCCTTCGTAGGTATGCGCTGTACCCATGGAATAATAGAATTGTTCGGCTGACATGAGAGCACAGGATTAGTATGCTTCTGTATTGATTGCTCGTTCCGCTTTAGTCTGACCAATGCAGTGACTGCCCACAGCAGGCGCTGGGACGCCGCGTAGTGAGGACTGTCTAACTTTGAATATCTGGTCTAAGCCAACGCAGAAGTCGTCAAATGCAGACAAGCCAGTCTTGGTCCTGTTCCATGGAGGGCGTCAGTCGCCTTTCGCTTTCTATAAAATAGCATCTGACTACTTTGGATAGGTTTCGCTGGTGGCAGCACCAATACTCCATTCGCCAATGGCCAATACCTTGCCGGAGCTGAAGATATCATCGTTGTTTCAGTAAAGTATCGCTTGAATGCCTTCGGCTTCCCTGGTGCACCTGAAGCTATTACCAACCTTGGCTTGCGCGATCAGCGTCTCGCTGTCGAATGGATACACCACAACATAGCCGCGTTCGGAGGTAATCCGAAGAAAATTGTCATTGCAGGTCAGTCCTCGGGTGGAGCTGCGGTAGACTGGTGGTCCTATGCACACAAGGACAAACCCATTGCGCATGGCCTCATATCGACTTCTGGAAACGTATTCAGTTTCCCCATGAACGCACCAGAGAAGCAGACTGCCAATTGGTACGCCCTTTCCAATGCACTTGGCTGCGGATCTTTTGGAGATACCCTCGCATGTATGCGCAAGCAACCTTTTGAAGCCATCTCCTTGGCCGTGACAAAGATTGCTCCCAGTACAGGTGGTAGTCCGGTTCGGTCGACGCCGCCGTTCTACCCCAAGGTCGACAACGAGACGATCTTCAGTGACTACCTTTCGCTCTCATCGGCTGACAAATTTGCACCTCTTCCTTACTTCCACGGCCATAACGATTACGAACAAGGATACTATGTCATCCCAGCTTTCGCGCAAGGTCGCAACGTTACCGCGAACCAGACTGCTCAATTCCTCCTGGAGTCTTTTATTTGTCCTATATCTTACGAGGCGACATTACGCGTTAACGCTGGAGTGCCCACATGGGTATACCGCTACTTTGGCGACTGGGGCAACAATCGTCTCTACCCAATGAGTGGCGCGTACCATGGCTCGGAATTGAACATGATTCTTGGTAGTTCCGAAGATGTCAGTGGCCTGCCTGCGACACAGGCGCAGAAAGAAACATCGCGACTCTTCCAACGCGCCGTTGCTACGTTCGCAGAAGACCCGAAGGATGGATTGACTGAGCTTAGCTGTCCGCAATTCGACTCGCAAAAGGAGAGTTGGATTGAAGTTGGGGTAGAAAATGAGCCCAAAGCTACGTTTGCTAAGCCGGAGAAGTACGATAAGCCTTGTCTGAGAAACGTTATGGGATCGCTGCCGACGTCGACGTGAGTGAGAAATGTTCATTTGTCCAGGTATTGAATGAAGCACATCGGGATTCTGCGGTCTTTTCCGAGTTTCGGGGTTCGAGCTAACATGGTATCAATCATCTACATTTGGGCGCCCCAGCACGGGCGTTTCAACGTTGCCACGATCCGCAAAAATGGCTGTCTACTTCACCTCCAAAACCTATAGAGAGTCATACCACACCGTACGAGGAAGCCTGAACGGAGATCCGCAAAAACGCGATTCGGCTAGACAATTTGTGTTCAGTGACAATCGTGGATCATGATCTAACAGCACTACACATGCACGACTTGCTGTCTGTCATGGTACCGTTTCGAGAACGCGGGTTTGCGCCTTCCTGTTTCGGTGACCACCCTTCCCAACGAGCTAAACTCGAACTAGACCAATTTGCTCCCTCTTCATGGCACAAATACCAGACTGAAGACGACAGTCTAGTCTGCGGACTTTACAACATGCTGACCTTCGACATGTTGTTGGCCGCAATCTTAATCACGGCAGTCTTCTGATTCTCCGAGAGCTTCGGCCCCTAAGGCTTGCCGAGGCCGGATCTGATAGCATCAAGAGTCTATAATCTTACTGTTGAGATCTTTTGCAACCTCTAGAATGTGCCGCGTTGCACTTGTTATTATCTGGTTGCGAAGGCGCTCGTGGTCGAAGTGTTAGGCAGTTCTTGTAGGAGAGGCTGTTGGCGATTGAAGCTTCTGCGACGAAAGCTCTCTCCACCTCATTCCCAATGTTAGCCCACGAAGTAGTCCACGAAGTGTTAACTTGCGGGTTTTTGGTGATGCCCTCACAGTGTATAGGTTTTCGGCGTTTAAAGTTCGCATTAGATGTAATAGCATTACCGATGCGGTGCAACACCACACCTAAAGGCATACAGTCGTCTGGATTCACATTTTTCTTAGTGGGTGACTAGACTTTGCTGCACCCTGCGGTTCTAGAATTACCAACTTCCCTAATATCACTTTGATGCGCAGTCTCACACTTGGCAACGCGCTACCCACGTGTTTCATCGGGCCATTCTCGGTTATGAACAGAACATAGCGGCCGCTTTCGAGTAGTGGACGCCACTACCAATCAGACTTGTCAACAATCAAGCCGATCCCCCGGCTTACTTCCGATCTATGCCCAACACGGACCTAGTGTAGGGACGTGCACAAGTAAATTCAGCCATCGTTAGTCTAGGTCTCACTCAGAGAGGGCTGCCACAGGCCAGCGGATACCTTCAAAACCAAGC